AAGGCTTCGGAGCAAAAATCAGTCTGGACCGCTCCTCAGGCTTCAACCCCTGCAAGACAATGTCCACCAGTTGGTTTTCAGGGATGCCCAGCCGTAGGACACGCCACACGCCACAAATGTCACCCACATACTGTCTGAGAGTTTCATCAAACTTTTGAGGTCGAAACACTCTCTCAACCTTCAATCTCTCCATGACCCTGAAGGGGACAAAGAGCTCAAGCACTTCACTGTGAAAAATGTCAAAATTTACTCCCCGTTTCAAACAATCTAACAATTTGTCACCAAGAGGTCTCAGGCAGAGTGGAACCAGCAGTTCCAACACTACTGAGTCCTCCATGCCTGGGAACTCCTTCAGGTGCAACACCTTTCCCAAAAACTCTAACAAAGGTTCCACCTCTAAACCATCAACTGGGCGAATGTCGCTCAAAACCCCAGCAATGGGATTGGGCAGTGGAGCAAACAAACCCATTTTGTTCTCAGTCAGTCGGCCTACTTTCAAAACACACACAAAAAATTTTTTTTTTTTTTTACAACGAACAATTCACAAACTTAACTAACTAAAGGCTCTGGACTGAAATGCCTACAGTCAGATGAGGTCCCAAACAGAAGAACCTGCCCATACACACCGCCTTAGCCACCAAATCAAAAACACGGACCTTACACTCACGACATACACAACATACATACACTAAACAACAACACCTAACATTTGTGTGATGAGGTAAACACACACACACACAGTTTCAATTTTGGGTTTGGCCATGCTTTTGACACTCTTGCTCCCAAAGGATGCAAGTCATTAACCAGATTCCACCCGGTGACTCGGCCAAGGGCGAGCTCCTAATAAAAAACTACAACAGTGTGCTTACCCCACCACGACAACATTTCTTCAAAAAATTCCTAAGACTGCTAGACCAGCATCACCCAAAAATCCAATCCAACCACGGCCCTTCGTGGAAAGAGCACAAAAAACCACGCTCTGCTACCATCTGAGCCGACCCCTCGCACCGCCCCCAGACGAACAACTATTGGAAGCATGCTCCCATAGTGACCGTGCGAGTGGCCGCCCCACATCCCTAACAAAATTGAAAGGCCGTGGGTGAATATTAAAAACAAAACAAATAGTGAACAAAGCCTATTATAATTCAAAAACAACAAAGTAACAATCAACAATCAACAAGGTAACCATCCAAAGAATTTTTCTATTTTTTACTCTTTTAAGGCTTTCTCAAAAAAATAAATTAATTAGAATTTTAAGTTTACCCTTCTAAACTTACAACTGGTACCAGTAGCAAAATTAGGCCTAACAATGAAAATAATTTAAAAAGATGGTAACTGTAATATATAAACTTTAAATAAATTAACAATAAATACTTCACAATAACTATAAAATAAATAACGGATCATGACTAGTAAGCTAAACCATAATTATTGGGGCTCCTTTTCAAAATTTCAAATTCAGTCCAAAAATTTCAACAAATTTAAAATATGGTAACTTGCGGAACGTGGTCATTAGTCACATCACACTAATGGTGGGCGGCGGTGATCCATCCGGAAGATGGCGTAGGGCGGCAAAGCAGTAGAAAGCAGATGAAGGCTTACTGGTCCCAGGAGCAGGGTAATGAGCAGCCCGAAGACGGAGAAGGAGTAGTATCTCCCTGGGCGAACCTCTCCGGAAGCAGCAACCAGTAAGAGCCTCCCATCTGGGACCTCATCTGACGACTGGCAAAACACTTAAACCATGTTCAAAATTCGCTGGCGTGGAAAATAAAGCAATTGTCTGAAGTAAAATATTTTGCCTTCAGAAAACGACAAAGTTTGACAGGTTAAATTGACAGTCGCTCGCCTTCTGCCGAAAATGTGCTCGGCAGCGGAAAAATTGCCCCGGGGTCTGCAGGACTGCTGCCAGACCCAAATCGATTGAGTTCCGGCGCAAAGCCAGCACTCGCACTATAAAAAAAACTGAGGCGTGACATTGGTGGGACGCTTGGTGGACAAGTCACGGCTCACAGGAGACGATGATGATGTCTACACAACCATGGGAGATGATCAGAATTTTGCTGAGAGGACAATAATGTCGACACGACTGTGGAAGACGATGATGATGTTCCCATTACTACTGAGTGGTTTTCAGGATTTTGCTGTGACCGAGGAAGACAGTGATAATGTTTCCGTGAATGAGGAAGATATTGACAGTTTCTTATTGATTGTGGAAGACGATGAGGGAGATCATCACCACATTACCTCAAGCACAGGTGGATCAAAAATATTGACAACTCTAAAAGCTGACACACCCCCAGTTATAATCTTTGTTTGTTAGTTCTTTATTGCCTTTTTGTCTACTTGAAAAACACCCTTTACCCGAAAATTACCTAAGGTAAGGACATAAAACAAGGGTTGGTGTAACCATTCCATGCAGAAAATTTGGCAAAGTAAAATAAAATTATATCAAGAATTGATTTTATGTAGTATGGACTTAACTATTACGTACCTCGTCTTGCTGGTCAAATATAGTGTTTGAAGTCCACTACATATGTTTTGCCAAATCTGGCATTCTCAAGTGGTTAGCAGAAAAATGTCATCCAAATTGGACTCGTCAACATGTTATTTCAAATACAAAAATATTTACACTGTGAGACACAATATAAATCAACGAATAAAACATTTAAACATGTAGGCCTACAACTCTTAACCCGACCAACGGCACTGACTGAGACAGACTGCAACTGTTAAAACTGCTGTTTAAATGTTTTATTTGTTGATTTATTTTGCGTGTCACAAAATAAATATTTTGTATTTGAAATAACAAGTTGACGAGTCCAATTTGGATAAAATGTTTCTGCTAACCACTTGAGCAGGGCCGGATCTAGGAACCGCGAAACCCCGCAATGCGGGGGGGCCCAAGCCCTTAGGGGGCCCAAAGAGGTCGTAAAAATTACAATTATTTTAATGCATATAAACATAATTGAATAGGACGGCAAGTTTAGTTTTGACAGACAAATAAATATTGTCAACATCAAAGCTAAAGTTAGAATTATTAAGTAAATTTAGACTTGTGATTTTACTCGTCGACAACTCGGGACCTCGCCCTAGCTAGACAGTTCAATCTCGCCACTTTCAGTCAGTCCATACTCAGTCAGCTCAGTCCAGTCAGCACGTCAGCGTCGTCAGCTGCATCGGCGAGCTTCACAGTTCACAGATCCACTACAGTCCGATCGGACCGAGCGACGTGGACGACGAAGTGTCAACTAGCACTAGCACTCACTCTCACATCTGTTGAGCTGAACAATAAGTCAAGTCATATAAGTCTGTCGTGGTACAGGAGGGACTTACTTGTACTAATCTTTGTAGCGTTAATGACCTAATTCGAATCGAAGGCGTTTGGGACACCGTCCAAACAGTAGTTTAAACTATGCCATGACAAGCGCTGGGTTCAGCGAGCGATCTCAATCTGTCAACGCAATTATTTAGAGATCAGTCAAAATAGTGAATACTTACTGTAGTTTTGTGAGGTTTGAGGTTATGTTTATCGTGCCGTGCCGCCGGTATTCTATAGTTGTTAAATTAAATAATTAATTAATAGACACAGTTGTACCTGTACCTCTGTTTCTTTTCGTTATAAGTGTAGTTAAGTGCGAATTAATGAACAATGAATTAGGTGAAAAACATTTCTACGAAGTATGCCAGTGGTGAGGTTGTAAGTTTTGAACAGAGAGTTGAGTTAAAGCTGCTAGCTAGGCCCGCCAAAACCTGATTTAGTTTATAACCCAATCTCAAAAGTCATGCAAGAGTAGAAAAGGATTTTCTAGAAATTAGATTAAAACTAAAAATTAAAACTAGGTTTAAAAAGTGCAAGTTAAATTATGAAATAGAAACCACAATAGAGGATTAGTTTGTTATGTTTTGCAATATCTATTCATATTTTAATATAGGTTTAGTTCTATTAGGATAATAAATCTGATCTATTAAATAAATTGGTAAAAACTATTAAAAAATGTACTTTACTCTACTCTACTTATGTCTACTTGCTCGTGACAAACAACAGGTGAAATGGGAGTTTTTGGACTATTATTGGACACAGTTTTAGGCGTTAAAAATTGCTTTAGAAAGTCACCAAACGGCTATAAAAATGTGAAATATGGACCCCGGACCCCCCTCTTCTCTTGGGGGATGCTCCACACCCCCCAAACCCCCCGGAGCCCCGTACGCAGCTGTAGGGGCCCTTGGAGGACTTTTGCAGGGGGGCCCATATTTTGTAGATCCGGCCCTGCACTTGAGAATGCCATATTTGGCAAAACATATGTAGTGGACTTCAAACACTATATTTGAACTGCAAGACGAGGTACGTAATAGTTAACTAGTCTTGAAAAGTCTGGAATTAGTCTTTAATTTTAAAGTGGAAATAACCTAGACACCCTGAATGCTGTCAAAAGCAAAAACAAACTATGAAATAGGTTTAATTTGGTTTTTGACATAAATAATAGGCTTAGGCCTACCTGTACAGTGGGCGAATCTTCTCAATAAGAAACACATTTATATACATAAAATAAGTGTGGGAGCGGCTTGATTTTCAAGCCGAGCCAAGCCTGCCTTCAAGCTCGAGAGTTCAAGCTCGAGAGATTGAGCACCTAGTCGGAGGCGAGCTTTTATGTTTGATATCGCAAGGCGCATATGCAAAGATTGTGCAAAGAAAGTATTCACACTTTCGCCGTGACTGCGGATGACGACTGTGAGGGGTGTCCACTATTTTGCCGTAATCTGGGAAGACAATGGCAATTACTCGGCCGCGGAAGATCTCACAATTTTGCGATCACAGAAGGAGATGGTGATTCTGTGGCCACAGCGTATGTTCAGGATTCTAGTCAAGATAACATTGAGATAAAAGCAATTTACACACAAAAAACAGTTATAGCTTGGTCCCACTATGTTTTGTAAGTGTAAACTTGATTGTGGTTGTGAGATCATGTGGTCTTGGTGGCTGTACTGGTTTGTTATTGCAGGTGAGGAAAGCAAGGAACAAGGAGAAGCCGTTGCTGAGACGCAAGTCAGAGTTGCCCCATGACAACTACACAGTCAGAGCTCTCAGTGACCACAAGCGGGCCGATGAGTTTCTGCCCACCCCTCCGGACGTCAACAAGTGCTAGCCTACGTCAAACTACCAACATATTTCCATTACTCTTATAATTTGTTCTTTAAACACGGTTTGAAGTAACTCCCTTTGTTTCATTTTATGTGATATTCATTCTATCGTTACGCCAGCTTTATTTAGAGAAAAAAATACCAGTAAATTTTGAGCATTTAACTAATTGATTTTTAGTAGAATCTATATAAATATATTAAATTAGTATTAAATTGTGTCAGTTAATCAGTTTATACAGGTTTTATGATATTGTTATATTTTATGCTATGTTATGTGTTGTTGTTATTAAAAAGATCCAATACAATACTTATTAAAACCCCTAATATGTTAACTGTTTAAATGTTTTCTTAAGAATTAAGGCAGTATTTTATAAAGTCTGCATATTTTTAGTTATATTTATTCTGCTATTACAAATATACACAGTATACATAGAAATATTTTTTCAAGTCCTTCTTTGTAGTTTTAATTTTAAAACATCCATAACCAACATGTTGATTTTATTTTATTATTTTATTTTTATATGATATACATATTTTTAAGCTACTCTAACCAAAATTGTCTATAGACACATTAAGAGAACGTTATTCGTCAAGTTGATAGATTGTAGTGTGCACTGCTGAAGTTATCTGTTGAAGTAGGAAATCATGCCTTTTCACTTTGACTACACCAAATACCTGTATATTCTGTAGTAAAACTTGATATTGTTTTGGAAAAAATAAATATTGATTTAATGAGTTAGCACTAGGGATGGGTGAGACATGATTTTAAATTCTATACAGGATTGAAATTGCATTTTTATTACCTTCTAATATTCTAGAAATGTTTATTGACAATTTGTTTGTTTGTCTATCTTGTGTGTTAAATTTGTTAAATTTATCTTGTAAAGAAAAATGTAAATGAAACCTACAAAATTTATATGATTTAGAACATTTATTATTTAAATAAAAGGGAAAATTACATGGTTTTTTAAATAAGTAAATGCACCTGAGCTTGAAAGTAATTTGAAATATATAAGAATAAACCTATTAAAGAGCACTAAAAGAAGCCAATAAGAAACCAAACATGTGCAGATTACCCCGAGTGATATTTTTCTATAAAAAAAGATTTGTATATCTTCCAAAAATGTTAAAATATTTTTAAGTTATGTATCCATCCAAGTGTTAAACTTATTTTGCATTTTCATAAAAGATAATGGTTAGTTAAATAACATCTTTTGATAAGTTGTAAAGCTGATACTTTTATTGTTAACATTCATAATGGAAGTCTTGTGTCAGCACCTCTTACAGCTTCAACAATCTAAAAAGCAAGTGTGATATGGTCACATATAACCAACTGAGAGTTTATTTATGACAGTGACATAATTGACTATACACGGCTACATATCATAAATTTTCCGTGATAGCCCAAATGTGTTATCCATTCTCAACAATCACGATAATTTTGCAATATTCCTATCTTTAAATGCTTAAAATAATTTAAATCTTACCTGAAAACCCCAATGGTGAATATCTCCTGAAAAATCTTGAACTTTGGGTCTTGCACATCCCTAGTTACCATCTTTGTAAAAATGTTGGATCTATGTTTGCCTGACTCGCTGTAGCTTCCGTCACTGGTAACTTTATACTTCCGTATATTAAGAAAATATACGAAACTATTCACTTTACGAAGAGTCACAAAGCTATATAGTCTCTAAATAATATAAATAGCTGTATATTTATATAATATTAGTATTGCCATTATAATGTATATAAATAAACTCAATTCCTGTCTGTAAATAAGTAGCTTTTTAGAAGATTATTGTTCTGGTGCAACATGTATGCTTATTGGTAGCGTGCCAATTATTTTGGTTTTAAAGTAAAGCTAACTTAAATTTAGGCAGATGGAAAAAAAATTTTATACAAAACGTCTGAGTGCCCATTAAATCAACAATGAAACTAGGTTTGTATACTTAAAAAATGTTTTATGAGTGTGGGGGACCAAATTGAAAATAATGGATGGTACTTATTATGCCATAGTTTCTAATTATTTCCCATAGAGTGAGAATTATTGAATATTTGATGGAATTGTTGTCTAAGTTACACATAACAGTAATAACAACCTTCCCAGTAATAAGCTCACTCCTGTCCTAAAAAGGCAATGCATTCATTCACAAGCATTTAACGCCAAATAAAATAGCTTAACTGCCTGTGATTGCTTCTTTTAAAATTATAATGTACTTTTTTTAAATTATTTGGTAGATTATATTAGAAATTTTATTTATGACTTCTTATCATAAATGGTCAAGTCTTTGACACTAATTTTAACTTGATTAGAAGGTTTTTTATAGTTAAATAACTTCTTTATCAGCATCTTATGTGTTAAAAAACTACCTGAAATTACAAAAATATGTCAAATAACACTGTAATAATATATTTACACTTATATTGTTTATTCACAAGACGTAACATACTAACGTAATAAACATTTCATACTCATCTATTGTTTACCGGCCATCCTCACCTGTTTTAAATTAACACCATCTTCCATTGCAGCTGACAGTGTTAAGATGACAAAGGAACTGGTTATTTGGCCAGATAAAATAATGTATGTTTGCAAGCATCTGGTTCCAGTAAAATACCAGCAGATTTGTTAAACGACCATCCAAAATTATTGGTGTGTCTGCCAGCAAATAGCCTTAAACCTTTAGTCAATGCTTAAACTTAAGGAATGAGAGGATATATTCATTTTTGTAGACTCCTGTCTTGCAGTTAAACACACTAACACCATCTCACTACTTGAAGCCTGCAACGTGGTTAAGTAAAAACGTTCAACTTGAGTTTGAGCCAGTGGAAGAGTGTAATTTATTTTGGTCCCTTTACTCCATGTAATACCTTTTTCGTACTAAGTAATTTTTTAGTTAAAACATTAAACTTTCTATAAACACTTGTTCCATTGTAAAAAGAATTCCAACTACTTGTAATACACTACTCATAATATGTTTTTTCTGTTCGGAAAAAGAAATAAGACTACGTCTTCTACATATATAAATATATATTTTTATTGATAATTGTCAGTTGATAAGTTCTTGATAATTTGTTTCAGGATAATGTAATATGTACACTTGCATTTGTCCGGCCTTTTAACCACTGATTTGCATGTTACAGCAATTTTTTAAAATTTATAAACAGAAAAACAAGCAGCAAAATTGTTAAATGTATATAGGTAATTTTAAGACATGTGTGCTAAGTATAAAATTAAACTACCAAAACAACGCTAACTTTTAACAGTGGGCATAATAATTTAACAGTTTTAGTTCTTAGAACTTGTTCAGTTGTTGGCTGCATTTCTAATAAGAGTGTCATTTTAAAAGTGCAATGCTGTTGTGACAATTGTGTTTGAGAATTTGCACTTCCAAAGTACATGAGCACAGGCAGGCCTGTGTACAGGATTAGCTGTTAATCCTCTAATGTACTTTGTGTCTAGGTTATGTTGTATATCTAGGAAAAATCTGTGATTTCCACGTAGGCCTAGAATTCTCAAATTTTATTCAAAACTTAACTTTACTGTCTAATCAAACATCTTGGGGAAATAGTTTATAAATATTTTTAATGATGTGATGATTTTAGTAACCTTTTTGTATAGAGTCCAGGATATTCAGCAAGTGTGTAATGCAATGCGTTTATTTAATCAACTAACTCTAGTTTGTAAAATAAATACAATTTATTTTTGTGAATTTCAAAATGTTGACCACTATTGTAATAGCTATTGTCTTTAAATATATAATAATGGTTAAAAATTGTGTCTGAATGATAATAACCCTGACTCCATATTATTTCTTTCTAAAAGTTTTAAGTTTATATTTTTCTTGTACTAAACACAATGTTATTATGTATTTTTTAATATTGTTGATAAATTTACAAATACACCATTCGAGTGGCAACATTTTATTTCTATGAATTTTTTATCTGTCCATCCACGCTTATTTGAACGATTTTTGCTGGGGAACAGTCAACAAAACCCTGGTCTTGTTACTATCTGAGTACAACTTTTTGTTAGATAACATAATTTTTTGATTGCCCAATAACAAATGACATTTGGGTCCAGTAACAATCCTGCTTGGAATTGAACCAGGGACCTTCAGACTTGAAGGCAAGCACTATAACAACTCAGCTACGTGTAACTCAAAACTTGGCACCTGCACTCCACTTATCGCTTTGGAGAGGGCCGATATGGAGAGAGTTAAGTCCCTTTTCCTAGCTCACCCGCTGCGCCCACCTCGGGAGTTCAGAAGGGTGGACAACATCTTACTCTACAGTAGTTAAAGACGGCCGTTCTATCCTTGAAGAACAACAAGGCACTTGTACCTGATGGAGTACTTGGCAGGGCCCAACAGGAGGTTCTATCAATTGATCCCATGATCCTTTTGAGCATTTGCAATGCCTGCCTGGCTGAGAGAATTTTTCCCCTTTTGCTGTAAATCAGCTAGGCTTGTGCTCGTGAGGAAGGGCAAGGGAGACTCAGACCTGCTATCCTTTTCCAGACATCTTTGTATGTTGGGTAAAACTGGGGATAGTCTTCAAGAAGCTGTTCTGTTTCCGAAATTCAGCCGTGCTCACTGCATGGGACCTGCCCCTCACGTGATTTTGATAGCACGTAAAGCTGAGCTGGCCCAGCTGAAACTGAACTAAGTCATGTCATGTGTAACATCAACACATGGATGGCAACCCACTGTATATGACTAGCTCTGAGCACAACCGAGATTGTGGTAGTGACCAAGAAGTAGATTGACATCATCAAGTCATTGCAGGTGGTGAGACCAGTTATTTGGTACTGCAGACAAGGCCCCTGTGGTGGTTTCTTCCTTCAGCCGGTTAATGGCCAATCTCCAGTTGTTGGAGGCTATTGATGTCTGCGGTCCAGTCTGTATTCCTGTAAGGTGCAGAAGTGTGGGAAGACACTCTCAGCAAGGAGGTGTACAGGATGCGGCATATTTAGCTATTGTGACAAGACTAATCGTCTCGTAGGGGTGATGGGAACTAGCTAAAATTGAAGTGGACGAAGTAACGTACGTCAAGTTGAATGTACAACAATCAATGCCTTGGACACATACAGTTTCAAAAGTAATAATAACATTGTTAAATTCTATCAACTTAGTAAAAAATTGTGGAAAAAAACAGCAGTACAAAAAATTACAATTTATGAAAATCATGAAATGCATTAACAAACTGGAGTTTACTCAATCAAATTTCTGGTGATTGAAATTAAGAAAAACAAGCAAAGAGTTCTTTGTCAAAAGTAATCGAACTCATGGTGAAAAAGTCCAGATTTGGAGGAATACTGATTCCCAAATGATGTTTCCTAGCAGTGTGCTGTTGTAGGACCCCTGTTGGGAAATGAAGGCCCCTCCCAAATAGGTCTTGACAGGACTGTTCAGAGCAGCTCAGGCAAGTTGAATTCCACAGCGAGACTCTTCCTCAGAAAAAGCAACTCTATATACTAGGTGGAAAAAAATTCCCGGGACGGTTGAATACATTTAAAAAAGTAATAAGGATAGAGCTTCAAAATTTAATACACATTTTATCAGTCCAGGAGTCAGAAAAAATCTTAAATTTAAGCATAGGTTATTATGCATTAAATTAAAGGTCTTTGTTTATAAAATACAATACTGCAAATCCAAACTCAAACGGACAACCGAGTCCAGAATGACAGCTATTCAAAAATGCTTTTACTACCACCTTAGGGGGACAAGTTGGAAGAAAATTATAAATGTATGCATAGGTTGATATGCACATCAAATTAAAAGGCTTCATTAGTGGAATACAATGCTACAAATTTGAGTTCAAAAGAACAATTGAGTAAAAAATGAAAATGGCAGATTCAAGAAATTTTTAACAGTGATTTGGTTGTACATTTGAGTTTGAATTTGTGTCATGTATTTTACTAGTAAAGGCCATTACTTTTTATGTGCATATCAACATGCTTATATTTAAGATTTTCTTCTGACTCCTATCGGGCCATCCCCCTGAGGAGGTAGCGCATCACTGAATAATGTGTTAAAATGATTTTATTAAAAATTCGGATTCTATAGAGAACTTAACTAAATGCATTTGCCTAAACACACAGAAAATGATGGTTTAATACTCTTGTATATGTATGTTACATGTTACACCAATGAGCTTGGAGGAACACTCAACACATACAATGAAGTTGTCATAATAGGCTTACTAAGTTAAAACAACCAAAATATAGGTATTTGTCAAGCTGAACGTGGTTTTCCACTTTACAACCCATTTGATAAAAATCTAAATGTTTAATTTGGTTGTCAAATGATGATAGATAGTGTTCTCCTGACATCTATGTTACATTTTAGTCCCTTACACAGTGAACTGCATTATGGAGACTAGAATGTGAAGGTGAGAAGACCTGTTACCCTTGAAACAATGACTGCAACTGTACAACTTGACCTACTTTAGCCTCAGCCTCTCCCATTCATCTGCTTCCTCTCTCTACTCTCTACACAATGCAATATTTTTGTATATACCAAATGTTTGCCAACATGGAGAGTTCAGAGTGTGTATTAGGTATCTTTAGGGCAGAGTCAAGAGGGATTAGGAGTCACTAAATAGTCTGTTAGGTATACCTGACAGTTGGTTTCCAACCTGTGTCATTTGGTTTCAAAATGTAGAGATGAGTCATGTAAAATTAATCATTTTTTTGTAAAATTACTTTTAGCCAATATTTTGCATATAGGAAATAACTAAGCAATTACCATAGGTCTCATGGTAAGACCTGGACCTGGGATCAATTAACTGTTTAGTTTTGATGTCCCCAGCGGCCAAAAACACCATCAGTTCAAATTCAATATGTGTGTGTGTCCGTTAGCACCACAACTAGAGCAAAAATCATTGAATTTTTTTTTTAATTAGATACCAACGTTTAAACCTACGATTATTCAAACGAGTTTGCTAACAAGCATGATTGGACGATATGGAAACAGGGTTTTTCTGTGGTATTTTATCGGGTAAAAATAGGTTTTTCTTATTTTTGACCCTCAAAATTTAAAATTTACCAATTTATCTCTAAAACATTATAGAGAGCTTAAAAAACAAATAATTAAGTACATGGAAGTGTTTTTGTACGTTAATTGATTACAGAGAAAATTCAAAAAATCCAAAATTTAAAATTCCCATGTTATTTTTATAGAGAAGTTAACTGTGGTAATTTGTATGTTTATGTGTATATTTTAAGCAAATTTGGCAAGTTTATTAATTTTAAATTAAATTATTAATATTTTACTAAAAGTAAAAATATTATAGAATATTAGTATCAATATTATACTAATATTCTAGGTTTTCGCACAGTGCTCAGTTAAAAAAAATGAGACACCAGAACTGTGACTTATTTAATGTGATTTGTATCTTTATGCCTATATTTTTATCTTTCCAAAAGAGAGAGAGGTATTGGAACTCCGTTCCGCCGTGTTCCCCCCCAAATCGAGCACTGGGTACTTGTTAAACTAATGTAATTTAAATAATATGGAATAAAATAATATTAATAGAATAAAACAATTGTTATTAGTGAAAATCAAATCAGGCAAATGAAAATTCGCTTAGTAGATTGCAGGTTTGCTGCGGTGGAGGTATTTTATACAATTTTACTGTTCTTGCTGTTTGAAAATCTTCAAATTTTAATTGTTAAAAACGACGCACACATATTAAAGTGAGTTTTTTTTAGTAACTAGCCTTTAACACAAACAAAAAAAGAAAAAAACTTATATCATATTTATAAAAGAGGTTTGGATTCTATATTTATAACTATAGTATGCTTGTTACTAGTGTTTTTGTACTTTTGTTGTATCATAAAGTAATTTGTTGTGACTTTTATAAATAATGGAAAAAAAACACTATTAATGAAATAGAATGTTATATCCTACCTGCATTTTGTATCATGATCAAATTAGACATAGAATAGGAACAAAATTATAATTATTTCTGTGATGAATTTAAATTTTAGAACATTAAATGGAGTTTAAGTGATTACCTACTTCAAGGTCTCAGTTATGACCCTGAAGCAAGCCCCAGCCAGTCCAGTATTATAGTAGGACAAGGTCTTGCTTCAAGTGTCCCGTCAAGGGATAAACCAGACAGGGTCTCAAAGTATACTGTTAGGAAGTGTATCAAGCTCTTGGTGGTATTTATTTGGTTGTTTTTTTTTTTCATTGTTTCTACCAAATGGAGTGTTTAAGGGTTGGTTAAAACAAGAACAAACAATTTAGTGGATGGTTTTTTCTTTTAATTATAACTTTAAGTGCTTGCACAATTTCAAATGCAAGGTGAGTTAAACTAAAAAAAATTAAAAAAAATAGCATTTGTACATTATAAAATGATTTAAATAGCATAGGTTCTCATTAATTATTCATGAATGCTAATCTTCCCGTTCCATCGAGCCATGTTTTTGTTATTATAATATAATTTATCTTGTAACTTGAATCTCATGTATAAAAATGGTGTTTACCGTATAAATAAATAAATAATTGTTAGATCATGGTTTTTTTTTTATAAAGGAATCCAATTTATATCGTCTACAAAGTCATTACGTAAATAATTATAAATAATTGAAAATAATTTCTTTAAACAATTATTTGTTCCAGAGAAAATAAATAAGTTTAGGACCATATTATTCATCGACATTAATAAAACGACGCGTGGCCTCTAACAATGATTCCTACATTATAATGATGGCCTGTTATCAACAAACAACATTAAGTTATTGATATCATAAATTTACTCAAAAGAATGATGTTGATAACTTTAGTAAAATTTACACAGGGCTATGAATACCAAGTTACTAAAAGTGTGTTTCTGTTTATTAGTGTTGGGGCTGATTGTTCTGTGAAGAGTTTATAGTACACTGTACAAGAGCAAGAAAATTGTGCTAATGTGGTGTATAGATATAAATCGGTTCGACAATACGTTTAGTCAGTTTAGTGTGCAGTCCAAGATGGCGGCGGATTCGGGAATGGATACGTGTCCGTCCCCAGAAAATCCAGATTCCCGGAAAAGACCCTTGGATGGAGATGTGGAAAATGGATCTACAAAAAGATCACACTATGGGAATGGTAAGTTTTTAATAAATTTCGATAAATTCATTTAAATTCTAGTAAGATCGTTAAATTATTTGAAGTTACGACAATGGAGTATTGTAACTCAGCAGGTGGACTAGGTTTACTCCAAGGCCTAGCTCACAAGAACTGGAAATGTTCATCTAAAATACAAGAATCCCAACTTTATGATTATATTTAATGATAATTGTGTCTAATTATATTTAATTTTATGCTATAAAATCATATTTCTATTTCGCTATGATAGGGGATAAGTTAACTTAATCCGTATTGTGTGTTAAATCAGCAAGATGACAGCTGTCAAATTTATAGTTTTTAAAGGACCAAACCAATTAAAAACTAACAAACATTCATACCTACACACTATTTTGTAGGCTAATTGTTAGCAAAACTCAATGAAAGCTGTAGGCTATCAAAATTTCCAAGACTTAACTTAAAATAGCCTAACTTAATATTAAGTTAGGCTATTGGCTAGGCTAATTCAATCTGTGAATGGGAAAGGTTATGTTAGGGTTGAGTTTTAAAACACCCGTTTGCCTTTAAGTTATAACATTCATGCAATAAGCTTAAAGCTCCTAAAAAAATATACCCATTTAAAAAATCTTGGGGTACAGTTTCTGAACTGGGCTATGATACTTAGGCCTTAATATAGGCAAGTTAGATTGAAACTGTCAATTCGATTAACTTAGTAAACCTTCATGCGATTTTTTCGCCATCAGCAAGTTTGGTTGGTTAGGTTAGTTAACCCTCCGAGTGTCCCTTGTTTTGGCTTTAATGTCTGCCTATTTTTTGCTCATTTGCAAGGTTTTATTAAAACGGATCTGAGAAGCTTGAAAACAATGTTAATTATACTGTTCTAAATACCATTTTGTTTTGAAAATCATGGGCTTCAATATTATCTATAAAACATAAGAAACATTTGTTTCAAAAAAAATCTTTAGGTAAAAAAAAAATTTTGAAAAAAAAAAAGTTTGCGCTCAATGAAATTGTTTAAATTATAGGCCTATAAATATTTGAATATAGCCACTTTGTTCTAAATGTTATGAGGATTTCAAATATATAATAATATAAGGAAGTAGATTTGCAAATAAATAAGTTATGGTCAAGAAACAGATTTCAGTACATAGCGTTTAGCTAAGAATGCATAGCTTAACCATAGCTAGGAATCTGGCTGATAATTTACATCAATATCACTACCTACCTACTTCTTCAGGATCATCAACCAGCCCTTCAAAATCACTTAAACTTAAATCTTCTTATAATGCACCACGTATATCACTACTTTTGATTTTTAACACTAAAACAATGATAGGCCTAAACGTAATAAAACACATCAGTCATCGGTGCGAGGTTAACCAAGCTGTTTACAAATACGCACGTCAGCTGTCTGCTACAATATTTTCGGAACTAAAATGAAAAGCACTTAGAGACAGACCTCCGGAGAAAGCTCTGAATCTGACAAATAAAACGATACCTAACTCGATCCAGTTCAATCCGATTTTGTCAGTCATAGAGCCTTCGCCGTAAACAGTGTTTGTGAGTCGATGCATCGACACAAAACACTACACAAAGTGTGTAATGTGTCGACGCATCGACAAATAACACTCGGAGGGTTAATTTTATAATAGAAATATTTAAAAATATTGATCATTAATCAATAATTTCAATTCGATAGTTTCAATCTATATTAGCATAGCCCAGTTAAGAAACTGTACCCAAATCTTGTGATCTAAGTTCAATTCCTTGTCAGATAGGCCTACGGTAGGCCTAAGATATTTCATATAAGTTAACTTAATAGGCCTAAAGCATCAAATTCATGGGTGAGCTAGATGCAAAACATCAGGATACCCCTTAGGCCTAGTTTTAAAATGCTAAGTTAACTTACTTAGTTGACAGTGGCTTGGATCAACAATTTAAGTTACTTTTAGGCTAAAAAATGTAAACTGTAAAAACATGGTAGTCTAAAATAATGAATAGGCCTATTTCCATAATGCTTAGACCTAAGTTAACTTAAGTGAGTTTTTTGAGAGGAGCGAGCGAAGCTGTTATACGTCGACGCTTAAGTTATGTATTTTGTAATACGCAAACTCTTTCTAGACGGCTAAAGTAATTGTTTTTAAATTTTGCATGGTGATAAAGACCATATTGGCGAGTGCCAACATCTATACGGCATTAAAAAATCTCTCAGGAATCCGCCCCATGGAGTCTCAATGTTTCAATGTAATCCTTATGGAAGCAGTATTTGACACAAACAAAGGCATAAGATCAGCTGTTGACTTTTGAATGCAGTAGATCAAGAAATAGCTGATAGCATTAACTTATTCCACAGATTTTAGAACAGAAACTGTATGGATCATAAATATTATCAAATGACGACACTAGCTTGAATCCTTTTACTAATAGCCTTAACATCTAGTTTGGACGTTTATTGATGGTTCCATTTTGACTAAGTTATAAAACAAACATGTTTGCTTTCGGTCCATCCAACTAAATTAGCCTAACAGTTGAAGTTGTGTTTGAAAAGTTTTAAGCTTACTTGGTAAAAGCTTACCTATGTAATCTTTTTAGTAGCACGTATATAAGCGATAAGTTGGTTTGTTAATTAGTGGTATATATGAATCTTGTGGGGTCTTAAAGGAACAGAACCAAATGTTGTAGTGCAAACAAACATGACGTGTTTGCATGGTAATATTTACACACAGCTTGCAGGTCTTCAGAAAGGTCTGAAATGATATCTCTGTGTTTTTTACTCCCCTTCACTATAAAACAATGTGTAGCCATTTAATCTAACTACTCCAATATTTATCTCTACACAAAAAATGTTTTCTTTGCTTAAAATTGAAGGTAAAATAATTATGAAGCTCGATGGACATGGTCAATAACAATATAATATGAACTCTGATGACTCCGCTCAATTTTGTGGATGCCTCTGCGAACGCTAACGGTAGAAATTTTTCCGTTTTCTTATGAAATGTTGAGATGGGTTGAAAACTGTTTTTGATTCACATTTCAAAAAATTATGTACTGAACATAATATTTAGGCTGTTTCTTCCAGATTAAAATGCTTTTTGTTTCATCACTCTAGTGTTCATGGTTACCGAGTTATGCAAGTTAACACAAACCCTTACCATGAGCAAAAATTTGCGTGTTCCTCAAAACAAAAATGGCCGCCGTAGAAGTAACAAAAGAGAAAAAAATTTAAAATCACTTTTGAACCCAGAATTGATATAGGTAGCCTATCTAGGATAAAAGTATTATTTATTTTAAAAATAGTCAAGCAACCACTGTTGGATCACTTGATATGGATAGACTTACCAGAGTACAAAAAAAGTGCTAGAAATTTCAAAAGTATAAAAAAATGAATAATGACTTTTCATTCTAGAAACTGTAGGCCTAACCCATTTTAGGCCATCCATGGGCCCTCACGCCTGGGAATGGTTAACAATTAAATTCAATTTATTTATTTACGGCAAAAACTATTGTATAATGAATACCATACATACAAAAATGCAAAGCTATACAATCGGTAAAAGTACATGTACTCACTCAAAAATGAATAAGTGCTTGAAACATAATAATACAAACTAATAATAAATAGCACATGCATAGCAAATCAACAATCAAGTTACCCTATTGCCTTCTGTTTTCTTATTGAGGATCGGATTGAGAACAAGATAAAAACCTTTGCTGTTTTCTTTACCTTACTGAGCTTGTCATACAATTTCATATTTATTTAGATTTAGATCATCAACATTATTTGTAAGAAGTTAGTCAAACCCTGGGTTTGTTACTATCTAAGAATAAATACCGATTAAAGAAGGAAACCTTCTTGTAAAATTGAACAATATCCTTTCATGTATTTTCCTCTTACTAATATTTTCTCTCACATTATTAAAGATCTTTATTCAGTATTAAAGATAGGCCTATGTTAGCATAAATTTAAATTCATTTTTGGATCTATAAAGTTGATGATAACTTAAATTTTTTTAGGGTTATCTGACTTAGCCCGAGTCATTAGGCTATAGTATCAAAGTTACTTTTTCAGCTAATAATATAGTAGCGTAGCAAGCTACGTATACTTGTTAAATATTGTGCTTTTTGCTAATAAGTTACAACTGAAATTGCTTAAAGACAAATCCAGGTAAAAAAGGCAGTTAATGGCTTCAAAAATGTATTATCTGGTAAAATTCTCAATACAAGCAGTATTTTTAATAAGTAGGCCTACTGACTACCGATAAGAGGCCTGTCATGAAACGAATAAAAATGTAACGGGAAAGAAAGAAACAAAGTTTGATAGTCAAACTTCCTACATTTTCGCTTATTCAGGCATCATCAAGTGATCTCCTATCAGTCTGCCTCCGTACCACAAGTGGTTGTCTAATTGAACAGTTCAGGGGCTACTTAATTCATTTCATGAGGTTGTATCACGGAAAACATTAAAAAATACTTTGTCTACCCTTAAATCTGACATTTTAAGGACATTTTTTCGAGAACATTTTATTAGCCATATGGAAATTTGCTTAGTCTGCAAGGCTTTGCTGTGAGGGTATTTTAGCCTATCTCTTACATTGCTTATCTGACCCTCTGAAACCATTAAGGAAGAAGTGATTTAGATTGGGATTAAATATTAAGTCTATACTGGAGATAAGGATAGGACAGGGCTGCACTAAACCATCTCTTATCAAAAATATATCAGTTGGTTTAACAATTTATCATGTCCCTTGTAATTTTGGAGACTATCTAAATTACAGCTCATTGTTGTTTATAGTAAGAATCCTCTATAACTTACCCTTAAAAACTATTTTCTTAGTTTACTTTACAGTATCAGTAGGGCCTACATTATTAACCATTTACTGTATGTGTAATTTATCCCAGCGAACACCAGCATTAAAAAAATGAAACAAATTCATAGGAATAATAACTTTTTGCGACAAATCTATCCAACATTTTCCAGAATGAAGTTTTTGCTTTTTTTTACAGAATCCATTATACGTCTTCTTCACAGTGGAACCATTGTGGAACTCTCTGGTGTTAGGATAATTAACAGCAAAAGTCTTTTGATAAGAGTGCAGGGTCGAGTGCCGTTTGTCTAAACACTTTGAGGCCGGCCGCACACCTAAACAGCATGGAACGGCGAAACGTATTCGCATCGCCTCGTTGCGCCTTGCCATGCCCGATAGAGAAGAGGGTCTGACTTAGGGGAGGTACAAATGAGGCATTTAGTTCAAAATTCCTCCGTGAACAGCGCTGTAGTAGAGAGCACTTTGGCAATGAAGGTTTACTAATCGCAAAAATAGTTCTGCTCATAAAATAAAATTATAAATGCCTCAAATTCAATTTTACTATTTTTTAATTATAAAATTAAACTATCATAACCTAACCGAACTAACCAAACTTGCTGATAAAGAAATAATATAACAAGAGTTTAGTAGTCGGAAAAATAATTCTGTTTATTAAATAAAACTAGAAATTGCTCAATTAAAATTGTATAGTGACTTAATTATAAAATTAAACTGTAATAACCAAACCAAACCAACCAAACTTGCTGATAATAAAAAAAAATCTTAGACAAAAAGTTAATGCTACCAGCAGGATTCGAACCCGGGACCTAAAGTATATCAGCCCGGCACGCTAACCATTAGACCACCGAGGCCCGATGGCTATCGAAAGTTTTGTTACGGTAATGGCGTTCCCTCAGCTAATAAGAAGCCCTCAGCTGTCATCGTAGCCTCTTCTATACCTCCCCTGAGTAAATACCTAGAGAAGAGCTGCAAACAGCACGGCACGGCAAGACGTAAACGGAGAAGTACCCACTTCTTTCGAGGCAAAATGCCTGATTTGAACAGAGGTGTCGCACGGAAAAAATATGGAGGGGGGAGACACTTTGAATTTCCCAACACTATATTACTAAGAATTCCCAACTAATCAATCATCATATGTATTAAAACGTGGCAGGGTTTTATGAATTTGTGTTGAAACAAAGATAATTTTGAGGATTTATTTCCAATCTATATAAGATGAATTTAAATTAATGCTTAGGTTTGTTGGTACAGATAAGGTAACCTGATGAGGTGTGCTTGTTAATAAAAATTTTGATAGCTTAGTACAAAATTAACAATATTGCAAAATGTTATTAAAATATATCTATAAACAAGCAAACTACAACAGTTTATTCTCTATAAAAACGGGCATTATAAATTTACAATTGTTTAAATTATCTCCGTAACCGAGTTAAATCTCATATATGCTACAGGACACATGTAAACATGCTGACACTTATTTTGTCGATGAAAATATTTGTATTTTAAAAGCATATTTTCCATGCCAGTCCAAAACTAAATAATATAGATATGAAAATAGAGCAGCAAAGGGGGTGTGAGCGAGCAACTTGTCGCCTAGTATGGCCGGCGCCGTAAGATAACATGGGGAGCGTATTTGTCGCCGCGACCGAAAAACGCTCCCGGTTGCGTTTATTTTTCTGTCGCCGGTGGTCGCTAGTCGCAAGTCGCTTAGTGTGGCCGCCTCCATTTAATTTAATGCTACGCACTTTCATTCATTGACGCCGCGACAAAGTCGCCAAGTATGGCCCTAGCCTAAATTACTAATACAACCTCAGTCGGCTTTTATTCAGAGATAAACAGATGGATGACATAGATTGAACACAACGTTATCATTAACCTGCTAGGATACTACAATTAGACCTGCCATCATTTTATGAAATCTATCATGTGTGACTACGTTTAGGGTGCTGATGTAGGCAAAATAGGGATCACTTTTATTTCAACTAAATATAGTTTGAATAAATCAATATTGGAAATTACGATGTACATAGATTCCATGAGGTGGAGGTGAGGTCCACGATGTACATGAGCATGAGGGAATTATCACGGATATTAGAACTGACAACGGGATTGATAATAAACATTGTCAATTACGTCACTAGCTTTACTAGGGTGTGTACTTTTTAAATTACTTCAACATGTGACCAGTTCTTTTTTTTCCAAATGGATGTCATTTTAAGTAACAAAACAGCTGTTTCAAAACATTGTATTTTTTCACTTTTCTTTTTTTACTTATTTATTTAGAAATTGATAAGATCAGTGTGGACATTTTGTTTAATAATGTCAGGATACCAAAGTTATATAGTACTGTGAATTTTATTGGATATTATTGTTTTATTTTAGGTAGTTTATATTCAGACTTACTGGAAATTGTGTTTAGTATGAGTAATTTTATTGTGGAGATAATAATTATGGATAAGGCAGGTGATAGTATGCAATAGAAGGTGGTATCGTTGACTTGGCCTAAACACCTCTCAATTGGCTATTACTCTCTCTACCGTACTTATAATCAGTGTGCGAATCAGCAGCAAATCTCATTTCAACGCTTTTCACATTGACACAACTGCTGTTTTATTGTAAAATTATTGGGTTTAAAATGCATATAGTATAAATCATAAATCTTTATTGGTCATTAAATATCAGAGTTACAATAAACCTCGTCAACAATAAAAAGGTGCCAAAAAGGGCCATTAAAACCTCAAGACTGACACATGTACAGAAATAAAATGTCACTGATTTAGCCTGTTTAGCTTGAAATGTACAGGAGAACCTACACTAAATATAATAAAGATAACAAGAAAATAGATACAGTAGTTAAAAATTATTTGAAAGACACAGAACTATATACAGAAACAAAAAGTGAGGTACTTAAACAAAGTGTTTGAAAGACTGGGTATAGGCCTATAATGGGATGAACACATTATTTGGACACGCGACATTTGTTTACAAGATGATTTTTCACATTAAAACTGCAAGAAAATAATCGTGTATACTAGCTGTTCTGAACTATACCCATTTTAACAGACTACTCCAACCTGTACGTAGGACGGGCTAACACCTTGTTAATATTAAGTTTTAACACTAAGAGGATATTTTACTTTTAAAGCCACATCTTCATAACTGACATACACAAAATAACAAGAGATTAAGGTTTTTATCACACATTGTTGAGATTACTGTCATTGCACTGTACCTACCGATCAATAATTCGTTAAGTTTACAGCCTCTTCAAATTTATTTTTTTATAATCCCTCAGTGGATATGGCTCTCCAGACGCAGCTAAGAAATAAATTTCCCTAAAAAGCCTTTAATTACGGTGTAGGATACAACGGATACGTTACATAACGTACTGTGGTTTCTCAACATTTAAAATTCCCAACTCTTTCTTACTTTAATTATTAATTCAAACAGAATGATAGTATGTTTGCTTAGTTTAAAAATAAACCTTCAGGTTGACAGTTAAATGACAGTCTTAAACTTTTCAAAATCCCAACTCCAACTTCAAATACCCAAAAATGTTCCAACTTTTTCAAAGATGATGGGGGGGGGGGGTTGCTCTCCCCTACCCCACTTAGGCGCCACGCCTCAATTTGAGGTGTATCTCTCAAAAAATCTGCCCATCCTATCAACTTCCTTCCGAGCTGCTATGATATATGCTATGGTGGATTTGTCTGGTGAGCGAGCTGGTCTAGGCGTTAGAGTGCGGGACTCCAGTCCCTGAGGTCCCGGGTTCAAATCCGGCCGAATCACCAATGGATTTTATCTAAGTGGTAATGCCGCAACCCCTAGTAGCCTGAAGTAATGTGAAAAACAATCCCGGGCTTGTGCCCGCTAGGTATTAGCATAGATAAAAAATACTTCCTTAGTAGATTTCCCATCCTTATGGAATAGCTGAAGCCAATTTATCGTTAGTTCTGTCTGGTGCACTGTAGAGGTCATGTTGTGTTTACAATTTGTTTCTTCTTATTTCAGTCATTTGTTTAATTAAATAAAACAATATAGTCTTAAACAATAACTCATCCTCTAGTTATATAACGAAACAGTAAAGCACAAATCATAAAATTAATTCTAAAATAATAGAAACAAAATTTTGTTGACACTAGCCACCAGTGTCACCGGACATGATAGACACGAAAAACGAGCTTTAAATTTTACAATGGGATGGGAAGTCTACTTGTGTTGGTTAGTCTATGGTAGCCTATTAGGAAGGAAAAGGGGAAAAATGGTGGATAAGTCTGCCACAGACTGGTGAATTCGTCATGAGAGATGTACTCCCGACCTGACCAATACAGGACTGGAACCCTCAGTCTACAACTATAATGTTGCCACCTGGCATTGGAGACAATGCCTAAAAACACTGTTTAACCAACAGCACAATTAATTATAGTAGTTCAGATTTGACTGGTGATTACCTTTTTGCTTTTTTTATTCTCAACATCCAAATTCCTTTTAGTTGTCCTAACTTTAGATTTTCAAAGTAGACTACTTGAATCAACTGTTGTAAATTTGTTTACAGGAGGAGATGGAATCTACCACTTTAAAATCCTTGTACCTAGCATTGCTTCTGGTGCAATTATTGGCAAAGGAGGCGAAACCATTGCTCAACTGCAAAAGGACACGAATGCACGAGTTAAAATGTCAAAGGCTAACGATTTTTATCCAGGTAATTTGATAGTTAATTTTTAGATGGGTTACATTTTCAAACTAGTCAAAGTCTGTCTCCTAATTTGTGTTTCAGTACAACATTATGTCATTTTACACATATATAATTTTTCAGCTTAAAACTGTTCTGTTGCCGAAAAATCTAATTAAAAATTACCCAAACCTAGAAATAGTTTGTACAAAATATCATTTGTCAAAGTTTTGAATATCTAAGTGGTCAAACATAGTAAAAAAATAATCACTCCTCCAAAATGCCAATTTGTTTTTGGATTTTGAACTCAGTAATGACACTATCATGCTAATTTTGACTTAATTTTAGTCCCTACTTTATTGCTTTGTTATTGAGGGTTTAGATTGATTATTGTTGTTAAATGTTTAACTGGACTTAGTCATTAAAAAAGCGAAAAGCAATGGCATTAACAAGAGATTAGCGTCCATCCCTACTGAAACCAGTTTAAAGGTTAAATAACAATATTCAACATAATATTTTAATTGGTTTCTTATTTGTGTTTACCACGGTAGGATTGTCTATCTTAACCTCTGTTGCTAACTTGTTTTAGTTTATTTATATAATGGTTAGATCTTCTATAAAAGGCTTCTTTTGTAATCCAACATTTTCCATTGCAATTTCAATTTTCAGTTAGGGGTACTGTATATGCATTTTTGTCAGTGCTACATAGTGCAGGCAAGGCTTTCTGGCATCATTTCAAATATTCAGTAGTAAAAGGTGCCTTGAAACAGAAATAACTGCTATTACTGTGTGTCGGTAGTTGCTTCAAATATGCACTGTAAAGATTATTGCATTTAATCCGCCCAGTGCAATATAATAATGTTAAATGTATTTGTTAAGACATCAATATCTCAATTACGAGTCTTCAATTGTCACTAGTGCTTGTAAGAGATCAATATACAGGGTGAAGCAGACCACCCGCACACATACTTTTACGGGAGTACGTTTTCTCCTAGAAACACGAAATATGTTATTTCACATACGTATGTTAATTATATTACTAAACAATACCATATTTTTTTTATTTTTAGTTCTAGGCTTTTGAAAGTAACATGCATTTTATATGGGAAATTTTAGTTTTTGGTTTATTACTTAAATACTAAAAGAAATAGACAATAGGTGTAAATTGCAATAGCTGTTCATCTTAACAGGACGCTTATAATGATATGCTGTTTGACATATGTTGCCATTTGATTTTTTTATTTAAAGGGCTACCAATATTACAAAAAAGTTGACACAAAATTATCATTTTGAAAGTTATTACATGTGACACATCTTTGTAAAGCTGTGTTTACCAGAATTATGAATTTTCAATCAGAACGGAAACATGTTTAGCGGGTTTGAAAATGCACGCTATTTCTTCAATATGCTAAAAATCCACAAAAATGGCCGCAATTTTGAAATGAGATGAGATAATTGTGTTCTGTTTCCACCAAAATGTTGCTCTTAGCAAGACCTTTCTAAAAATGTACAATGTGATATAGGTTGACGTAAGGAAATTTCAAGATTCGAACCCACAACCTTTCATGTTCTAAGTATTTTAAATTATTGTATTCTTCATATGTGATTTAGGGGGATAATCATTTTATTTCACGTTTCTAGGTGAAAATGTACTCCTGTAAAAGTATGTGGACGGGTGGTCTGCTTCACCTTGTATAAAATTATTAAATGTGTACAGTACTCAATGTTTTAAAACACGCTGCTGTTCATTACACTTAAAGAATTAGGTTGCATGGGAATTAACTTTATCTAACATTGAGAGAGAAAAAAAAAAACTTACAAGATAACACATAAACTCAAATTAGGTACAAACTCTTCCTCTTTTTATCAATAATTCATTTTTGTATCTTCTAACGTTCAAAGAGTGCACTTATATTAAAATACATTCATTTTGTGGTGTTTTAGTCAATGTTTTACATGTACATGTTATTAATAATAATAAAAATAATTAAATGTTTTTATTGTTACTAATAAATATGATACATTGGTACGGTATTGCATTGATATAATTACTGTTTATATCAAACAAAGCTTCGAGGTAGTGAAATCAAGTGTAATGGCCTAATACTAAAAACATTGAATCTATAGTGTTTATAAACAGTTAAATCCCTACTACTAAATATCCCATTTTACAATCATTACGATTTATAAATAAATATAATGAAGAGTCACTAAGAATGATGATAATGAAAAGTGATGTTAACTGTAGTTTAAACACAATGGATTTTCACAGTCAGCAGTCGTAGTACTTGGCCATTACAATTGTTACAACGAAATTCTCTAGGGAGGGAAAGAGCCTTATGATAAGACTGGTAGATACAAGACATGACAAGGAAGTTACCCCTGACAGGGTGAAGGTTATCTGCTGGCCACCTGGTACTATTGCATTCTCTCATCAGTTTACCTCACAGTCCTGTTCTGTTGTTATTTGATTCTTTCTATCCTATTTGTTTTTAATGCAAAAGAATTATACAAATTTACCACAAGATATGCTTACGGGTATTGCAGCGATTGCGGGAAACAATTACCGGTGTCGCGAAACTGCAAAATATGCTCACGAGTATTGCCGCGATCGCGGGAGACAATTTTCGGGTTTGCCGAAACAGCAAAATATGCTCACGGGTGTTTCCGCCATTGCGGGAAACAATTATCGGTGTTGCCGAAACCGCAAAATATGCTCACGAGTGTATCCACGATCCCGGGAAACGATTGCTGGTGTTGCCGAAACTGCAAAATATGCTCACGGGTGTTGCCGCGATCGCGGGAAACGGTTATAACTGGTGTCGCCTTACCTACTAGTTATACTGTTTGTTATATAAAATATTATTCTTTGGAAAAGTTTTGTTTCAAAGTTATAGTGCCTACCAGTTATTGAAAAAAATAAATAATGCAATCTCTAATTTACTATTTCTTAACTTCACTTTTAAATACATTAGTTAAATGCATTACCGTATGTGAGAAAAATTATTATTTCTTTTTAAAATCTTTTAACAGTTTCTACTTAATATAAAACTGCTAATAAAGCTTAAAGTAGGGTTCCGATAGTAGTTCTTAACCTTTCAGAGGGCGCATTGAATAAATAATGTCATGAATCGTAAAAAAAATTATTATTTACAGTAATTATTTACACGCAATAATCAACGTGCACACTAAACTAGAGGTCGCACACGGAAGTTGCCTCCAGGATGTACAAGAATTGGCAGAGCGCACACGGAAGCTACTTCCAGCCTCTTACAAAACTGAACAAAACTAACAAAATATAAAATAGTAGGGGTGAGTTTTGACCTTCACTCGATTCTAGTAATGAGGTGCGTGAGGTACAGTGACACTCACACTGCAGACACCACTCAAAATAATATAATCGCGAAAAATAAAACATCCCTGGAGGTTACTTCCGTGATGCGACCTCTGGAAGGTTAAAATTCAGGAATTTGTCTTGAATTCTGCTGGAAAACTCCTTGAATTTTTTAAACCAGATTTAGTAGACACCATGATTACATACTTAGTTGAAGAGTCACCTTTGTACACCTACATGGTGTACTGGGTGACAAATAAATAAACTAAATGAAGTAACAAGCGAGTTCAGCAGCAAACTCAACAACATAGTATTTCGTCAGTACACAAGTTTACAATAAATTATCTGTTTATTTTACAATTGAGTCTTATCAGTGCACAAGTTTACAATAAATTATCTTTTTATTTTACAATTGAGTCTTATAATGTTAATAATTTGAAAACAAAACTCACTAAAAATTGTGAGCTTTGCCCTTTTTATATAGAATAAGCCATTGTATGGTATATTTCTGTGATTGCTTTCCCATATGATTGTCATCTAGCCACAGTAAACACAACATTGATGTCACTGCTACTGGTACTGTATTATCTCTACGAGTCGATGACAAGAAAAGATCTTTTCAAGTTGTGTGTGCCACTTTCAATTTGTAGGCCTACATGTTCAGATACACTAGGCTGTTCCACCCTATAACATTAAATTGAATATTATATTGTTGTTGTGTTGTTTATTATATTGTTTAATATATTTTACTGTTTACAGGTACTTCAGAGAGGGTCTGTCTTATATCTGGTAGTGTAGATGCAATTATGTCTGTTTTAACCTTTATCATGGAGAAAATAAAAGAAAAGCCTGAACATGTAGTAAAGAGTGAAATGGAGAATAAGACTGGAACAGAAAGAGATAAGCAGGTAATCTAAATATAAAAAACATCAAAAATACAAATAATTTTTTGTCTATCACCCTCATTTTTCCTGTAAGTGAATAATCTCTTTGAACTTCAAAATTTTTAAAACCTCTAGTAGCCCTACTATGCCAGAAATAAATCTGAAATGGTATAAATAAAACCAAGGTGCTTTTCTGTATGTGAATTTAAATATTTAGAAACTTATATGGGTCTTATTGGCTTATTGGTTCCCATGAAATTATTTGCGAGATAACAATAAAGAGGTGTCATAACATATGTTAGTCAAAGGATAATCTAAACTAGCACATTACAAATACAGAACAAAAGGGAAGAACAATGGGATTAATATCGTTGAGCATAATCTATACTATAATACGAGTAACGTTTAATAGACAGTTACAAAGTCAGTTATGACGTTACTACAACCAGTTATTGATCTAAAGCGTTGGATTTTAATTTATTTTATACCAGTCACTCACCTGGCATTTTGTATTATCAGGTTGCATATACTGGGACTGCATATGGCAACAACTACTTGCAGATTAAAAAATACAGGCAACATACAAAAGGTTCAAAATGTTAACTGCATCATAAAATAATAATATGTTTTGGTAGGCTCTTAAATAAAAAAAATTGTCAAAGTTATAAGAAATAAAAGGTTAAAAGTTTTTAAAAGCTAGCCTATAAACCATTTAAGGTCTTTATTGAGGTTGAGGATTAATTGGGTCTCATTGTTTTACAGGTTAAAATATTGGTGCCAAATAGTACAGCTGGTATGATTATAGGAAAGGGTGGCAACTATATCAAACAAGTGAAAGAAGAAAGTGGCTCATATGTACAAATATCTCAAAAAGCAAAGGATCAGAGCCTTCAGGAGAGGTGCATTACTGTGATAGGTAAGAAAAAAGTGTGATTAAAGTAGGTGTCCTGAAATTTCAGGATATTTTTGAGAAAAATATATACCTGATTATGGGACAGGATTATGATTCGGGAATTTCTTGATAATATGTGTTCCAATCATCAGTGATTTTGCTTGTCCCATTGCAAGTGACTGTGAGGATGTCTCCACGATCACTGGAGATGTCGCTGGTATGGTGGGTGACCATCAGCGGCTACAAGAGATGTTCACAATTGTAGGGATGGTCAAGTCTCGAAATTTCGGGAAATTTTCAATCTCGTTACACGAGACGAGATTACTTTTTGGCCGAGATTTTTATCGAGACAAGAATAAAAAAAAAAGAAAAGAAAAAAAATTAAAAACGCCTGCAGAAAGTCAATGCAATACCTGCAATACAGGAGCGTGTTGTAGTTGTGTTTCCTTTTCGAAGGCGTTCTTATTTAATTAATTCTTTTAATGTAAATATTACTTTAATTCTTTTAATGTAAATATTACTTTCATTATTTTAATAATAGTACTTTAATAACATTTGAGAAGTTTTGTTAAGTGTAAGCAGTGTGAGGAATGTTTTATTACTATAAAAAAAGTCAAAACAAGTAACTATTTTATAAAATTGCTTTTATTTTATGATTTGTTTTATTTTAGGATAAGTTGAACTCTATCCTAACTGATATCACCATGTTTCCTAATCGTAGGCATTTTTAATAAGTTAGGTGTGATTAATAAAAAAAATGTTATGCTGATGTTATTTAATGAAAGATTGTAAATATTCTTGCCTATTATCATTATTTTAGTATTTAAGCAGTCATCTAACAATGTTACAAAATCAGGTAAAAATTTCGAACGTGCATTTCCCGTTGTGTATGAGAAGAGAAATCTCGTCTCGATCTCGTCTCGAAATTTTATGAGAAATAAAAAATCTCGCCTCGTCTCGTCTCGAACTAAAAATCCAATCTCGTCCATCCCTACACAATTGTATTGGGAACCCAGGAGATGATGTCTCCATGATTGTGGGAATCGTTGGCAATGGCGCAGAGACCGCGAGACATAGTGCCGTGAATGTGGGACAGTTATAGTCATGATACATATTTACATGATACAGCAAAACCTCACCAACTCGACACCTGGTAACTCAACAGATGACAGGGTGCAGGCAAAAAAGTAAATTTTTGAAACATTTAGTTTTAATTGCTGAATATTCTACATTTCTTTGATGATTTTTTACTATTTAAAAATACTTGTGTAAGTAATACATTTATTTGTAAAAAATAGTCTGTTTTGTATTCATTTATAAAATCGTATACAAATTTCAATGTTCTGGATAACTTGACAACCCCCAAACTCAACAAGCACTGGGTCCACAAATTGGCAAGTTAGTGAGGTTTTACTGTAGACAATTAATTTATCAAGTGTTGTTTTACAATAGTAACCTTTTATCTAAAGTTTTATTACCTTAAAAATATTTTTAAACCAACTTTTTATCAATACAAGTTACTTGTTTAACAATAAGTAATCTTAATTAACATGTTACATGAAAGAAATATAATTTAAAGATTTATTTTCTTGAGATAAAAAATCCTTTGTTAAAAAGTCCTCTTTTCTTTACAGTTACATATTGCTAACAATTTACTTGAAAACGATGATTTTCCAATTTCAATCACTGTAGTTATACCATGTCTCTCTCTTTGAATATGCTAGCTAATTTGTCAACTGCTATGAAAGCCTCTAAATAGATTCTGTAATAGCTATGTATAGTTCTAATTTTATCACTAAAAATTGTTATTTTAAATAGAGTTAAGCGTATGTTGTACTTTGTGTAGGTGAGATGGAGAACAACAAGAAGGCTTGTATGCTGATTCTAGTCAAGGTGATGGAGGATCCACAGAGTGGCAGTTGTCCTAATGTTAGCTATGCCGACATCTCTGGACCTGTAGCCAACTACAACCCGACAGGCTCACCCTTTGCCCATCCTACCACCCAGACCAACACCTTCGCTAACACTGCTAACATCAACTCTTCTGTTGCTGGTAAACTAAATAAACATACCTTCATTCACAAATATCAAAACAAAATAACAAACTACTTAAATTTAGTAGATTACACAAAATACAATATCTTATTTATATTGGTTGCCTCCTTTGGCTTTTTTTATTTTTTACTTTTTTTTAGCTCTGTAGGAACTGTAAAAGGTTCTACATCAGATTTTGTAGAATTTTTGTTTTAGATTTTGTAGAAGGATATAATTGTACACTCTAAAAGGAATAAAGGCATTTTCTGCAGTTTTTATTGCATTTAAATTTTTAAGAAATTATAATATAGTTCTGTAAATATTTTTGTAGCTGTTTAAAATGTTACATAGTATGGACACTGAGGTTTTAAATGTTAATGGCAAGTTCAGTTTTTATTGTGTGGTCTTGGTTTGTTCCACACAATATCATTCACATCAGAGGAGATGGTGCGTGTTTATTAACTTCACTCTCATTCATAATTCACCGTACACACATACACACACTAACTGTGCACAAAGCAATTGTTGAAAATGTTGTGAGGAACTGGAACTACTTCTCAATCTCATCCAACGACAGTGACGGGAATATTTACCTTAATTCCAGGGAATACTTCTATGAAATGTCTAAGCCGTTTACCTTTGGTGGGTTGTGAGCTGGTTGCAGCTTCACAACTATTCACATTTTTGTTTTTGAGATTTATCGGAATTGTGAGTTATATGTGGTGATGAACGTAATCCTGTGAAAAGACTCAGATTTACATAATCCCTGTCTAGCGGGCACTTTGACGTTTTGTAATGAGGCCATAGTGATCACCGGATGTGCTCGAGGGGAATAAGTTTTTATACCACGACTTCCCCTGGTTCCTACGAACTACCCGTTTGATTTTAAAAGGTTGCAATTCCCTTTGAAAGTGTGCTTCACCCTCACCATCAACAAAGCGCAGGGACAGTCACTTATGTTCACAGGATTAGACTTAAGAGAGGATTGTTTTTATCATGGACAATTTTATGTTGCATGTTCACGGGTCAGCTCGGCCACAAGTCTGGTGATGTAATAATACCTTCTGGGAAAACAAAAAAATGTTGTATACAACGAAATTCTGCAAATAATCAAAAATAGTATGAGTAACGAACACACTTTTAACTGCAGTTTTTATCATTATTGTAAAATTAAATATAAAAATTAAAATAATATATTGTGTATTTAATGTGATTTATTTAATGATAGTCTGGCACTTAAACACTAATTTATTAAAAATTTCAACCAATTTGAATGTTTCCATGGTGAAGCACAGGTATTCCGATAGTTGTCACATAAAATCTTCTTTGGTTTAGCTACTAGATATACTTCTAGGAGACATATATATAGCTATTTTTATGGTCAGAAAAATTCAACTTTGTATGTAATTTTAGCGAATTTCCCTATAGGGAAGTAGCTATTACCGTAGGTCTCATGGTAAGACTTAGGCCCGGGACCGATTTACTTTTTCATTTTAATGTCCCCAGAGGCCAAAAACACCATTCGTTCAAATTTTTATATATGTATATATATATATATAGGTATATATATATATAGATTTATATATATATATATATGTGTCCGTGAACACGATAACTTGAGTAATTTTAATCCGATTTTGATGAAATTTGGTTTGAAGGTGTAAGGCGGGATAAACTTGAATGAGTTCGCGATCCAGCATGATCGGACCATGGGAACAGGGTTTTATGGGGGGTTTTATGGGGTAAAAATTGGTTTTTCTCACTTTTTACCCTCAAAACACAAAATTTCCCAATTTTTCTCTAAACCTTCTTAAAGAGCGTAAAAAAACAAACAATTCACTATATCAAAGTGTTTTTGTACGGTTATTGGTTACGGAGAAAACTAAAAAAATTGTAAATTTAAAATTCCCATGTTATTCTTATGGAGAATATTGTAAAATGTTGTAGTTTGCTTGTTTATGGATATATTTTGATCAAACTTGGCAAATTTATTTATTTTATAGTAAGCTATCAATATTTTACTAAAAACACACTACTTTATTAGTTTCCTTGTAGCAGCAAACCTAGGTACTCGTTAAACCTAATGTTATTTAAATAGATCAATTGAAAATCGATTCGGCCAAATGGAAATTCGCTTAGACGGCAGGTTTGCTGCGGCGGGGGTATTTACAGTTTTTCTGGCAAGCCCGAAAAATTCAGCCATCTTATGATTTTAATAGGGTCCTATCCCAATTAGTTTTTGTTAACGGGACTTTGGTGTCAATTCTTGAGGAAGGTGATTGTGTTCTTATGGTCAAAAGAGTACGGTAACTCAATTGAGTCTTACTTTAGGGAACAGAGCAGACTAAATTCATGATAAACAACCCTCAATGTCTGCTTTTCAATAACACACCGAGACTTTCTATTATTCATATTTAACATTTATGTGGCAATGTAATTGTCTGAAACATTGTGGGTTCCAATGCAGACGACGTGTATTGAGTGCATTTTTTTGTTAATTTGAATGTTTTGAGGTTATTTTGGACTGAATTTAGTCCAAACTACAGTGTTCAAATAAATGTAAAATAGTCTAATATCCTAATACGTTATAAATAATATAAAGAAATGTGATTTTTAGTGAGCCAGTTGGGGAGTCTAATGCTTAATGGAGGCCTAGGAATCGGAGGTGCTCCTGGTCTGAACTTGAGTCTCAATCTCAACTCTCCCATTGTTGGAGCCAACCAGTCCCTCACCTCTCAGCTGCTTGATCAAATCAAGCTCATGTTGCGCTCTAGTGGCTGTTCTGAACATGTCACTGCAGAGATATCCACTGCTATGGCCACTCTTGCCAAGTAAGATATCTTGAACACACATGCTTAGTAGAGTAGAAAACCATTTACGTAATAAAATTCTATGAAAATTATAGATATATAATTTTAATACATATTACAATTAACGTAATTATGTAACAGTACCTATTCAGAAAATGATTTGAGAATGTTTTTGAAGCTGTCACAAAATGTACAATTTGAATTTATGCTTGGGCAAAGTTTTAAAACCCTAATTGAAAACAGTTTCCCAGTTATTTTCTAAGAATCTTAGAAAATAACTGGGAAACTGTTTTCAATTAGAAATATAACTTCTTAATTTAATGTTTTTTGCTCGAATAGTTAACATTTTGTGAAGACAAGAGTAACGTAACCTATGAGAGTGCAACGACTAAATGAAATTGACTGCAGTTTGAAACTGTTATGCTTAGGCTTTTGCTTGACCATTAGGTCTGATGGATGGGCAGTGTCTCTTTTGCAAGGAAAAACTAACAGATATTAAGGGTTTGAATCCTATCTGTCAGATCTGGTGGGCAAGACGTTTGCCTGTTCGTCTTACGAGTTGCCCACCAGATCTGACCTGAGAAAAGTCAATATCCTTTTAATGGTTTGAAAGTGTTATCCAGAAGTCCTGGATCTGTGAGATTTAAATAATTGATCCTGGCTAAAGAACCAGCTCATCTTAGTCAGTAACAAGGCTATCATATCTGCTACTCAACACCCTTCTTATCTTTGACTTCTGGTGTTCCGTAATTAAAAAAATTTAATCTGGCTAGTACCATTACACAGATATAACCAAATATTTCTTCTAAGCTAAGACCATTCGATATATTCATACATTTACAGTAGTATTTTTATAGGGTTGGAAGACATCTTTTACTATATAACCTTAGTAAAATCAAAATGACAATGCCATATGTAGTTCTTTCTGTACTGTATGTGTGACTGTTTCAGATACGGTATCCTGGGTATGGGGCTTGGCATAGGAGCTGGAGGCCTAGGAACTGGCAGTTACCTAGGTGTTAGTCCGATGGACGCCACCCCTGCAACAGCTAATGGTGGTGCAGGTGTATTTGGCCCCATAGGAACCACTACACCCGCCCGTCCGTCGCTGGACCTGGCCTTCGACCCGTTCCGCCATCCCACCCCCGCCTCTCCTCCCGGATCTTCTGCCCTAAACAACAACTCATTTGGGCTTGGAGCCGTGAAATCAGATGGAGACGGGAAAGATACAAAGAAAGTCGACATGGAAATAGCTGAAGTGATAGTAGGTGCCATTCTCGGCCCCGGCGGCAGGTCACTAGTTGAAATTCAAGCTATGAGTGGTGCAAGCATCCAGATATCAAAAAAAGGAACTTTTGCTCCAGGAACCAGAAACAGAGTTGTCACGATATCCGGATCGCCTGCAGCGATCGCCGCTGCTCAGATTCTTATTGAGCAGCGAATCAGCGAAGAGGAAGTAAAAAGAAACCGTCAAAATCCCTTGGGGCTGCTTCAGTAGTCTAGTCACGATTAGAAACATATTTTGTTTGTTAAGTTTTAACACACTCTGAAAGTATTTGTTTAACTATGTTAACAGTAGGCTCAATTATTATGAGTATTCGACTAAATGTTTCTCGGGCAATCAAGCAATTTAATATTTTGCTGAGAGGTGGTTTTAAGGTGTAACTGATCTCACTCATTACACATCACGTCACATGTTAGAATACATCACTGAGAGAGATGTAGTAAATTAGCTTGTTATCAATATCATTTTGTTAACCATAACCATACCATCTTAGGAGTGGATTTTGCACATTTAATATTTTATCTTATTTTATTTAGTAAGTGTTACCAAACAAATGTTATTCCATAATTTGATAGTTTATGATAATGTTAACTATTTTCATATTATTTTTATAACCAATAAAATTTTAATGTGGTATTAATTTTTTACTGTTATTTGTGAGAAGTACTTGTTGATAACTTAGGATATAAAATATCCTAGTGAAATTACCATTTGAAACAAAGACTAAATATATATAAACATATATATTATTTTATTAAGTTTGCTTTTACCTCAAACTGATTTTCTTTTTTGTTGTACACGCTTCCATCAATCTTAACAGTAAAACATTTGTTTTAGAAATTGGACACTAGCTGCTTCAGTAGAAGAGGTACATGATTCTAGTTATGATTAAGTGTACAATTGTATATATATTTTACTTGACAGTTTTAACCCCATATTTTAATTTCCAGTTTTAAGGTAACAGTAAAAATAAATGTGTACTTTGAATATACCCCTGCCCAAAATTTTAATATTTTATGTGTAATAAATGTTTAAGTTATACATAGCTGTAAAAAAATCATAGTCTTACATTTAAGTGTTAACCCTAGTTTATTATGTAAAAGAGTGGACTGTAGATCTTAAACATTACAAATAAACTTCACCCCCATATACATGAGCACGAAGAGCCATTAGACATAATTCCAACCCCACCAGTTTCAATCGATTTGTAGGCTGTATAATCAAAATATGTTTAGGGACTTTGCATGGATACAATGTTAAATGTTTGGATGTGTAGAATAGATGGGTGTTGTTCCTAGTACCTGCTCCAGCTCATTATGAGTCAGATATGTCATTCAAATTTACATTACATTCATTTATTTCATCTTTCACCATTTCACTGGTTTGAACTGATGTTTATACAATATGAAAACAAAAACATCCACATCTATTTAACAATTTGTGTTCTGTTATCTTACTTGAAATAGATTTGTTTAATGTTGCAGAAGGTGACAGAGATCCAGCTAAGAATGAAAGAACTTTTATTTTTAATTGTAACAATTACATAAGTTTTTTTAACGAGTTGTTCTTTATATTTTAATGTTATTTAAATTTTTAGCTGGAAGTGCATAACTATCACAGGGAATGCATCTCCAATATGTCTTTTCCTTCAGTTAATTACAATCACAGTCTACAGAGAAACAAGTGTGGTTCAGATACCTATTATCTTTCATATCAATAAGCACCAGCATATTTAATTGCATTTTATTGCATTTTTTTTAAATGGAATGAATGATAATTAATTGTTAAACTAACTGTTAAATATATGTGGATTGATTGGAAGGTAAGAGTGAGAGTGGATCCCAGCAAAGTGCCTTACATCGTATCAGCTGGCCTGGTGCGTTCATTTGGCCATCAATCATGCATCTGCATTCAGTGTTCCGACCCAACTCGCTCAACATAATACTGTTGGTTTGGATCACATAAACTGAAATACATCCCATAATTATAAGTAATAAATGGTTACAAATTAATGTTTACAACAGTTTTAGCCATAGAAAATGTAAACGTATGCTGGTTACTTTCTGACGTGATTAAATGAAATATAAACCAGTTCAACACATGAAATGATGAAATATTTCAATTGATAAATTAATTTTCTTTTGTCTTATAATGGAATTGTTTGGTATGGTTTTTAGTGATAGGACTTTTGGTGTTTTAATTTTGGGATTATTTATCAGCATCGGCCATTAATTTGTACCTTGATATAATGGATTTGTGGTTGTTACTTGTTAATGATAAGGCAATGAAAGTAAGATTAATCCTGAATTAACTATTCTGTGTCATTAAAATGATCTGATCTTGAATTTGAGAACTGATTTCTTTTCATGTTAAGAGATCTGTCAAAGAACATATAAAATAGTATTGTGACTCCTTGGAACTTGTTATTTGTTGTGTAAGTTATCTGAAATTATAGTATCCCCCTCTTAACTTGTATTATTCTGTGATACAATTAGGCCTATCCAGTTGGGTTGCTTCTAGTTTAGTTACCGCACAGTTGTTGGCCTAGTTGTTTTTTATTATATATACATAAATATATATAGTTGTTGATGTTGTTGTTCCTATTAAAGTTGTAGTTAGTCAATCTCATTCATCAGCCATATGTGATATTGTTGTGTCTCTTCAATATTATTGTTAAAGGTTACCAATGTCAAAAAGAAATTGTTGTGCTATTAACAATATATAACTATTTTTGTCATAATGATAATTTATAGGATTAACGACAATAGTTCATTATCTTACTGGCTGTTGTTATTGTATATTACAACATAGTTTACAATTCTGCATGCGTTGTTGTTATTGGTGTTGTTCCGATACATTCGAATTGCAGTTCATTTCACGAGGCTATCCGAAAGGCATTGTTTTACAGTTGTGTTTGGTTTTCACGCCAATGGTTTATTTTAGGATTTTGTATTTTTTATAATATTGTTTGATTTAGACTCTAAAATAAGAGTTTGATCCTTAACAATTTGAAAAGAATAATATACTCTATCCATGATCCTACTCATGAATCACAGTCATACAATTGAAGTTTCTAACTAGTACATTACCGTACTTTACTAAGTTATAAAATGGCAACCCTTTCAAAATATTGTATAAACACTGTGCATCATGGTAGGTGTTTGTAAATTTAACTAAACAATTGCCACAGTCAATTAACAAACCAAATATTTCAATTCATATTTTAATTTTCATGTTTACTAATTTTTAAAACTTACATTCCATTACCTCCAAAATTAAGAAATAAATTCTTTTAAATGTCTCTAAGAAAGTTTACTAGTGTCCCAAGCCGCATGATCGTTAACATTTAGTATGTTAATAATTTCTTGCTGACCTATTAGGGATCCCACGTTTTAAAAGACGGTGTTGATATTGTATTTTATTTAAAAATTAATGTTTTACATGTTTTTGGTTGCTGATAGTGGCATCAATCACTTAACTTGATGCACATTTTTCTAGACACTGTTCACTATCCCTCAACTCATCCCTTCAGTATTGATGAGTTTCCGTGAGTTCATATATTGCTTAAACCATGTGAAACTTTCCCTTTAAAAAAACCCAGAGTCCCTCTGATTTCAAGCTGTTTAAATACAGTAAAGTTTGGTTCCCAATTAATAACTGGAGCCATCAAATAAAAAATTAGTTCCTCCACACCACAAACATAATCTAATTTTAATTTACAATCTAGTTAAAATTCACGACAAATTATCTAGCATATCTTTAGTCAAAATCAGTTACCATAAACTTGTTCTCAGCTCTAAACAAATTTGTCTCCTATTTTAAACCATGCTTATGAAAACCGTACTCAGATTTCACTTGCATAATTTTTAAAATTTGTAAAACTGTGTTGAAATATTCTCAAATAAATGCATACAAAAAGGAATAAATAACTGTAGCTCATTCATTTTTTATCAACTTCAGATTGATAATACACAAATGATAAAACAAGCAAATGATATGTACTGCATTATAACTAAGAATTATTTTAACCATACAAATTATTTTTTAGATTTATTCTCTCATGCTTGTTTTTCAACTAATGAAAAGTATTTTGTTGTATTTTATACAATTTAAAGGCTTGTGTCTAAATCATAGTGATTTTTGAAGTTTTTAATGTCAAAAAAGTAAGCTCAATAATATAGACTTAACAATGGTTATTAATTAATATTTTAAATAATTAAGTTATTTACAAATATCTATTTTCTGTTATAATTTCTTAGTGTAAAGTTTGAGTACAGTGGGACCTCAATATGTTCTTATGCATAGAAGAAAGCCTTTCTATTTTTTAAATTGTGATTTATTTCCTTCTTTCGCTTAAATGCCTTAGAATCCCTCCGCTGTCAGGGTGTCTACCAGGCAGGGAAGTCGCTGAAAAATTGGGTTCATAACTAAAATAAAGTTCCCCAGACCTGTCTTTTGTTTTGCACCTTGCTACAGGCAATGATGAAATTCATAATGCAGAAAGATTGAGCAAACAAATTTTAGGAGCAGGCAAAAATGCTCATATCGTTATGGCCAACTATCTCATGTTCAAGTCCCTCAGTCAATGATTATTGTCTTGCCTGTATCAAAGATAGCGTGTTTCAACACCCCCTCCCCTCATTAAGTCACTAAAATTTAGTTTGATCAACTGATAGACACCCTGACTCTGCATTTTGTTTTTCTTAACTGGCATCAAGAAGTTAAATTAATGTGTGGAAGGTTAACTGACAACCAGACAAGAAATCTGAATTGTAATAAATAATGTGAAATTGAAATGAAGTTTTGTATCAGGTGCATTATAATATTGGTTTAAATCCCCCATTATCAATACTGTATCTAGAAATCGACTTTCCCTTTTATTCTCGGTTCTGACAAGGTCCTACTGTATGATAAGATTGTTAATCTAAAACTACATGAATAGATGTCGTGATTGCCTAATACAATATTATTAATATGGCTCGAAGTTTTCAATTTGTGGGTTAATTCTATATTAGAGCTCAACTAGTAGTCTTCAGCTAATAAAAAACGTTCACTAAAATTTGTATGTTGGTTTTTCTTTAAAAAAAGATAATTCTTTCTGTTTATGGATAGTTAATGAGTTAATACCTACACTTCAACCCATTGATGGAGATATTAATTGTATCAACGATTTCCTTTTTCATTCAATGAGCACAAAATGGTTTTAACTAACAAAACAAATTGGAACACTTTGTTATTTATTAAGGATCTTGGAATCAATGTTATTCCAATTATGTAAATAAGAAACGTAATGTATCTTGATAGAGTAACAAATGTTTAGTGACAAAATATATTCATATTTATATTGGATTTACCATTTAACAAGGGCATAGTCAATTAATACAAACCATTTTAGAAATAACTGTTGATATAAATGTACTTAATCATGACCCATTCCTGCATGGGGCTGTCTCAGTTAGACTCCAGTTACGCAGATTATAAATATCACTCATTCTTGTCATGATGGTTGTTAAATAAAAATTCATAAGTATGATGTTAAAATTGTATAAATGTACAAACCTATTTTGAAAAGCAAGTGCCATTTCATTGCAACATTCCAGGTTAATTTATATTCGACCAAGAAAGTTGTGTTAAATAGATTAAACCCATTACCACAATAATAATATAATTATAATTAATAACCGTAAGGTTAAAAACAAAAATACTTGCTACAATTTTTTCTGTGTCAGTCCTATTCCAAATTGTTGAAATATATTCGTAAACCCAGGAGGAAAACTTTTAAATTTATTTCCTGTATAAATAGCATATTAGGTGCGAGTACAGTAAAGCTTACCGGGCGAGTAACGTACCTGTGTAGTATAATGTAAACATTTTTTACCTAAGACCGTTTTTTAAAGTAGCCGTTTCAAGTTCTTAGAATTGAAGTTTCTCATAACAGCATGTTTACTTACATAACTGCATAGTTTTACTTATAACAACACGGGTAACGGACCAATGAGGTTCAAGGATTGAGAAAAAAAAATCTTAACTCGCTTCCGCTCGTTGCAAAACATTCACCTGCGTGATGTAAAAATGCTCTTACCACACTCTTAGAAGTTTTCAAGGCTCGTGCCTGAAATGTTCTACTCGTATCAACTAACTTAACGCAACTGTAGCGTAAACTACTATAAATTTACAGTTTTTCCAATTTTCTTCTTAACCATTAATTGTAGAAAAAAAGTATGTTAGATGATTTATATAATTATTATATAATATATTTATATATATTCTAGGGATGGACGAGATTGGATTTTTAGATCGAGACGAGACGAGACGAGATTTTTTATTTCTCATAAAATTTCGAGACGAGATCGAGACGGGATTTCCCTTCTCATACACAACGGGAAATGCACGTTCAAAATTTTTACCTGATTTTGTAACATTGTTAGATGACTGTTTAAATACAAAAATAATGATAATAGGCAAGAATATTTACACTCTTTTATTAAAAAACATCAGCATAACATTTTTTTATTAATCACGCCTAACTTATTAAAAATGCCTACGATTAGGAAACATAGTGATATCAGTTAGGATAGAGTTAAACTTATCCTAAAATAAAATAAATCATAAAATAAAAGCAATATTAATTTTTATAAAATAGTTACTTGTTTTGACTTTTTATAGTAATAAAACATTCCTCACACTTAACAAAACTTCTCAAATGTTATTAAAGTAATATTATTAAAATAATTAAAGTAATGTTTACATTTAAAAAATTAATTAAATAAGAACGCCTTCGCAAAGGAAACGCAACTACAACACGCTCCTGTATTGCGGGTATTGCATTGACTTTCTGCAGGCGTTTTTAATTTTTTTTTTTTTTTTTTTTATTCTTGTCTCGATAAAAATCTCGGTCAAAAATAAATCTCGTCTCGTGTAACGAGATTTAAAATTTCCCGAAATTTCGAGACTTGACCATCCCTAATATATTCTTAAGCTCTACTAAATGGTTTGGAAAAGATTGTGAAATATAAGGGGTCTATGTTTTGAGGGTCAGAAATAGGAAAAACCAAATTTTACCCCATAAGACCCTGTTCTCATGATGGTTTGCGATCTTGTTAAAATGAATCGACTGCAGTCAGCTTACACGTTTGCTCAATTTTACTCAACCTATTGTGATAACGGACATATACAGGGGGATAATTGAAAAGTTAGTGGTCATAAGGATTTGATACAATTATTTGTCAAACTACTTGAAAATGGTGATTGAATGTTGCCTGTTTAAGGGTCCAAACAGTATAAAAATAAAATATTAGTTGTTATGAGAAAACTTAAATTACTATGAAAGAATATCATTTATTGTTAAAATAACGGTCATTTTTGAAATCCTCACAAAATTTACAGTAGGAATACTGTACAACATAAAAATTGGGGTGCTGTATAATTTTCTACTTAGTTTCTGGTCCCTTGCTATAATTTCATTTAAACTTCAGACATCCCTATCCAACGCCACAGTTGCTACATTTGCTGATGACACTGCACTGTTGTCATTAATCTGCAAGCTGCCTTGAATGAGCTCCAACATTGGCTTATAAAGTGGAGGATCAAAGTCAAAAAGGGTACAATCCTCCAGTGCCCATTAATAATGTAGCTTTAAACAGAGGCAGAACGTGTAAAATATTTAGGTCTTACTCTTGACAAAAAATGAAATTATTCTTTGACTGATTTAATTTTGAAATAATTTCTAATAGTAATTGGTACAAACTAGCCAATTATTCTTCTTTAAAGTTTTTTTTTTCAATGTTGGATTTACTCAGGGTCCTCCAAAGTTGAGTGCCATTGGTTTATTAATCATAACTTTATACAGGGTGTTCATAAAGGGTGTCACAAACTTCAGGGGCTGATGGTACTAGTCAATCTAAACAAAAAAGTTCATATGAACATAAGTCGAAAAATAATTTGTTTAGCCGCTAGCCCCCAGTTTGTATTTTTTTTACAAAACAACTAATTTATATCTCAAGAATTATTCAAGCTACGGAAACCAAACTTTGAACATACATTTACTGTGTCAAGAGACAATAAAAAAATATTATGTACAGTAATTTATTTTTTCTTAATTTTACTAAATGTTAGTTGCTTAAGTTAGTTTAGTAAGTTACATAACTTAATTTTACTAAATGGAAACTAGGATCATCAGATGGTACATCTCAATGTCGCTAGAGGATGAGTCAAATTGACAACTTAACCCTTCAAGGCGGGCGTTTTTTTAAGCCCACGGAACCCTGCTACGGTAGTTTTTGCCGTGATCGCGCCCATTATTTACAATACTTCACCGAAACTTAGTTTTCTCTGGTAGGATACATCATATCAATCTATTTTATTTATAAAATTGTATGTGAATAAGTAATCTACAAAATAATACCAAAAAATATAACATTAACATTAAAATTTTATTTAACATACCTTCAGAAGTTGAGTTTTGTGTGGTAGTCCTTGAAGCAATTGACAAGACACAGCGCTGCCTTACAATCTGGGCACCAGAAGGCTGTTTCTTTTCTTAACCCAGCTTTGTAGCAGACCACACACCTCCTTGTAGGTTTTTCCTTCTTCTCTGTTGGTGGAATGTGGTCAATGAAATGTCTTTCAACGAGTCTAGCGGGCTTCGGTTCAATGCTTGGCCTGCCATGCACTGGTCTAGCTACCTCTGCCTGATAAGTATGGATTAGCTCCTTTATCAACTGTAGTCTGAATTGTAAATGGTCACATTTTGGGTTTGTAAACTTCCAAATAATATATGAGTTCAGAACTGAAATATTCATCAGCCGCTTGAATAGTTTTATCATTTTACTCCACGCTTTCTTTCTAGGAGGAAATTATGGAGCATTTGATCCCTAAGGTCTACTCCCCCCATCTGTTGATTATAATCATAAACAAGAACAGGCTTCATGTGTTCTTTACCTGACTTGTTCCTTCTTTGCTCTATTTCATGATTATGAAATGTAGAAATAAGTGTGACAAGGCGTTTGTCTTTCCACTTCATTACCATAACGTTTTCGCTATGAAGAGCACATATTTCCCCCTTTCCTAGCTTGGCATTCTTTATTTCATCAGGAACATTTTTTCTGGAGAGTTTCAGTGTTCCACAAGTATCAGTCTTTTTGGATTTCAAAAAGCTTGATAGGTCTGGGGAGTTATACCAGTTGTCCATCCATACGGTGTGTCCTTTATTCAATAACGGTTCTAACAGCTTTATGACGATTGTTGTGGACTTGTTGCTATCAGGCGGGACTATGGGACATTCAATTGGTGAGTTCTTCCCAGTATACACAAGTAAGGTCCAAGTAAACCCTGAGGAGGATTCACACACTTCAAAAGATTTTATTCCGAATTGTGCTGATTTCAGAGGCAAGTACTGTCGAAACGAAAGCCGACCTTTCCACCGAGTTAGTGATTCGTCAATTGAAATGTTTTGGGACAACTCATAAGACTCCATAAACTTCTTGTTCAAATGTTCAATAATGGGATATATTTTGAAAAGTTTTTTTGGACCTTGGAATTGCGATAGTCGCATTGAAGCGCTGAAATGTAAATATTTGCTAATCATCTGGAAACGCTCGAAAGGCATGGTACTAGAAAAGATTGGGGTTTCGAGCAGAGGATTTTTACAGTAATATGTTCGAAGGCTTGGTTTTTGATCAATACCCATAAGCATGACAATACTAAAATAGATATAAAGCTCATTTTTTGTAACAGGCTGCCAAGCCCAGTCTCTGGATTGTCGTGCAAAAACCATTCCTTTCTTAGCCCTTTGCTGTTCCGCATAAAGATTTGTACTTGTTACAATGAGATTCATAATATCATCATCAAAATAAAATTGAAAAATACTTAGGGGACTATTAGCGGGTATTTTAGGCCCAGATTCCCTGTTAGGCCTAAAGGGTTCTCTGCTAGGTTCGTAGCCTTCCATAGTTTCCCAAACCATTTGGGGCTTGGCTTGAGGTCTTGGTAATGGGCAGTCACCAGCCCCTAGTACAACACTTTCAATTATATTTTCAATGTTCCTATTTCCCTGTACAACCGGATCATCAATTTCCATTTCATCATCAACATCAAAATTGTTTCCAATGTCAATTTCAATCTCATCGCCATCATCAAAATCAAAGTTACCCTCTAGGCCTACCTCCTGTTGAGCGAAGTCTATTTCCTCCTCCTCACTTTCATCTGACGACAATAGGTGTTCATCTTCATCTATCCAACGGTCTATTTCACTAGATCTTGCCATTTCACTTTTGTAAAAATAACATTAAAATTAAAACTTATATCTTTTTGTCAGAATAACCTAGCACAAACCTAACCTTGCACAACAACACGCACGCAACTTTCCCAAACACACGTCATAAATTACATTTTCAAACAAAAACTAAGAATCAACAATCACCTAGTTAACTTTTTTATAACTTGAAATATAATTTAACACCACTTTATGCTATATAATTACGATTATACCGTAAAAAACGATTGAGAACGTCAGTACGTATGAACAGTTGACGCCGAGACGAACAAACATAACCACACTCAAGTTTGCAAACAATACATCTGTCTCTGTCGCACTTATTGCGATCGATAACAGCTGAAAAATGTCGAACAACTAATGGACAACATGCTCCATAGAGTCCGGGTTCCAAATAGTTCACTAAATCGTCGTCAGAGACCACCACTTATCGGGTGATGTCATGATGAGCGGCACTCGTCAAACCGCAGCAGTGTCTTTTTACGCGTGACGAGTAACGCTCGTCAAACCGTCTTGAAGGGTTAACTCTGATGTTGGTTGAGTTTATTTACTGTAGGCATATTAGAATAAAAGGTTAACTGACCAATAGAAACATTCTTTATTTTAAGTACATCTGAAGAATAACAAAGATGCACACCTAGTAATAGTTATGTACAAAATTAAAAACAAATCCCATTTTGTTACTTAATTACATAGAATTAAATTACAGCCCCATTTGTTTTGGCTTGAAAACAATGCTGTGTGTATGGTAACATTAAAATGAGACCTATATTTAGTTTAATGAAAAAAACTAAATATTCCGTACCCAGATTGTCGGGATTCTGGACCGCCAGATTGGACTGTTCACTGTGCTGTTTATTACTTTGCTGACAAACAATACTTAAAAACAAACATGGAATGTGTTATTGGAAAACATAACTTTAAGAGGCTTAACAAATTGTTAAAAAGTAAAATGTAGTTGATTCAATTCATAAACTGTTGTTCCAATTATGGTTTTAGGTTTTATTAAAAATTGGTTTACATATTCAAATATTGTTGTACTATTTTATTCTATTATAATTTAAATCTGTATGACTTGTATTATAATTTGGTATTATACAATTTTGGACAACCTGACAATATGGGTTCATAAAAATCATGGTTAAGTTAATACTTTGATTACAATTTTAGTCACTTCACATACTCACATAAGAGAAAGTGTGGTGGGAGAAGTTCTTTTTCATACAGTACTACACTCTATAACACGTGTGACAGCATCTTTTATTGCCTCATAAGAAATCAACTAACCCTGAGATATGTTTTGTGTATTTATAAAAACTCACAATCAATTGCATTCAGTATCACATTACCACCTAAATCTGTGAAGGTATCATGATTAACTTCACTTAAATTCTACATAATGTAAAATAACTTCACATTTGAGAATACAATTTCACAGAACCATCCATGCATTGCACAACTTTAAGAATGATCACAATAAACAAATTAAATTTAAATTTAATTCTCCAACATGATTCACTAGCTCAAGTATCTCCTCAGAACTATTTAACATTCATACACTTTCATGTTTAAATGTGTTTTTACCTACGACCGTTTTTTAAAGTAGTTGTTTCAGTACAGTTCTTAGAATTGAAAAGTTTCTCAATACAGTATTGTTTACTTTCATAACAGCATAGTTTTACTCATAACAACATGGGTAACAGACCAATGCGGTTCAAGGATTTAGAGAGAAGAAGTAAAATTGTAATGATTCGAACTTCAACTAATCAGCTGTTCAGGCCAATTTAATATTGTTGAGTGATTCAATTAGTGTTTGGTACAATGTTTCGTTGCATCACTGTCAGTGGCAATGAGAGGTTATAAACTAAAACATAACCTCTCTTAGAAGTTAATGAGAAGTAATTTTTAGTAATTAAAACATTGTCATAGGTAAAGTAGTGTACCCAACTCGCGTAAATAGTGTTAACGACACTCGTAGAATTTTTTAAGGCATACTCGTGTCGTTAACACCATCTTAACGCAATCGTTGCGTAAACTACTATTACTTAACAGAACCATGAAAATGCATTCAACTGTGATAGTACCAATATTGCAGCTACACCCTGCAGGTACTATATGTGATGTGTATCTCATAGCTCTTTATACATATTTACATTAAGCTATATATATTTGTACATGATGAGGTCGGCTTCGTTTCATCTGGTAGCTTCAGGAGGGCAGTCTGGCTGGTTAGATGGATGAGCAGCCTGAAATGCTGGATGATTTTCAAGCTCTCTGTCAATGCGTAAGACTATTGGATATGGTCTCAAGTCAACTCCGTATCTGTAAAATGAGAAAAATTATAACCTAGCTCCAAGAAAGATTCCCATTTCAAGACAGAAACAGACATTAGTTTGTTTTGCTGTGTTTTTAACATAGTGCAGGTTTGAAATTGCCCAAATTATGTCTAACATTACTGATGATTTGATGAAAACAGCTTAACGTACCACATTTCACCGGATAAATCACGGGAAGGATAGGAAGAGGAATACAGAAAGCTTAGACATTGGTACAAATTACAAAATGTTAATTAACGTAAGTGACGAAGTATTTATTAATACATTTATCTAAATAATCGACAATTATGAAACCATTTATGTAAATTGTGCATTGTATTTTCAATGATAAAGGGTGGTCTAAAACTTTTTTAATACTACCGAGATAGGTATGTTATTCTGCATGTGTGTATTTTTGCGTCGTGATGAAAAGTATCGTTCACAACTTGTACCGAAAGCTTTTTTCTGACACTTGCTCCATTGTTCCCGTCCTCGGCTTCGCCTCGCACGTGAAAATAACTCTCACCTGCTCGGCTTTGCCTCACACTTGAGCGCGCGTCGGAAAATGCATCTTTCGGTCCTAGTAATGAAATATACTATTTCAAATCTAGTCTTGACGATCCAACCTATAGTAAATCCATAGCTGTAATGATGGAAAAGCAGAAAAGTCGGATAACAAGAAACATAACTAATACTTTTTTAATTTACTTAATTGTTCTTTTTTGGTTTCATAAATGCTACAACGTTCTTTGATTCCTGGGCGACCCGCATACCCTTGTTTGTTTTTATAATCACCAGTTTATTGAATGTGTACAATTAGTCTTATTCCAGTTATTGTTAAACAGTATACGGTTTTCTATTTAATACAGTAAAAACTCACTAACTCGACAGTTTTTGGTTGTTGAGTTATGTACAACATTGAAATTGTTAATGGGTTTTGTAATTCTGTAGATACTATTTTTTACATATACATTTATTACTTACATGATTTTTACAGTCTTTAAAAAAAGTGGAATATCAAACGATTTAAACATTAAGTCAAACACAATATACACAATGAATTGTGTATATTCATTCATTCATTCACACTAGGTGAGGTTTTACTGTAATTACTTTCAAATGTGTCAACATTGCCTCTGAAATAGATTCAGAAAACTGTAACGCAACTCTATATAGGTAGGAACAAAATAAGGTCTTTACCTGCTTAAGATTGTCATTTAACTAAGTATTCATGGGTATTTACCTCCTAGCATTAAACACTTGCGGTATTAGACAGCAGTCGGCCAAAGTTAGTTCATCTCCAACACAGTACTTGCCAGCTGTTGACGACAGCAGTTTTTCAACAGCTGAAAAGTATCATCAAAGTCGTCATCAAAAGAATGGTTCTAGCATACGATAGGCTATAGGAAGAGCTATGATGAGCAATTTGTGAAATATATGGTTTTTTGTACTTAAGGTGAAAAAAATGTCATTAGCTAACAACATCAATCAATAATCAGTGTACACCAAATAAATGTTCTTATGGGTTGGTATTTAAAGTGGGATGTTGGTTTATCATTTTTTTTCTACAAAACCAACCTACAGTGGCAAGTATTTAACAGCCTAAACCCCTGACAGTTAATATACAGTATGTTGAAAAGCTTTTGAAAGGTTTCAACAAAAGTAACCTGGTTTTCCTTTTAAATGCAAACAATAACAAGTCCTTGCTGGAGTGAGAAAAACAAAAATGGAGTAAACATAACAAATACATATATATATTTTTTTGATATTTTCAAGCACAAATAGATTTCTAAATATTAGTTTGTATCAATATTTACCAAATAGTTGGTTAGAAGTGGTTTTATTGGGTACAGAAACGTACAGTCCAACCTCAGTATAACGAATCTGAAGGGACCGAAATGAATATTCGTTATATCAAGGATTTCGTTAAAACGAGGTTCGTTATATAGAGGTTAGGTTTGCAGGAATTTCGCTAAGTCGAGGTTCAGAACCAGTGTCGGTCAATATGGGTCGGGATTTGACCTCATTAAAATACAATTAAAGTAGCATAGGCTACAATACTTTACAGTACAGTGTTTACATTGTACAGTAGAACCTAAATTATCCGGTATAATAAAGGGGAGGGATCTTGAATATTGCGCAATCATGACAATGGCATTGACCTTGGTACAGGTTAAAAGCTGTAAGTTTAAAATCACAGCTTGTTCTAACCCTCCTAAAACCTAGCTAAACACTGTATTGCGTAGTCAAACCATGTAAAGAACAAAACAAAACAGTAGAAAGTTTTGTAATCTACTGCTCGTGATAGGCCGGTAGGCTACTTACAGTAGCCTACAGTACTGATTTATCACAACAGAGGAATGTCAATAATAATCATCAACTATAGCATTGGCGTTCCTAGTTAAAACAAATCGTATTGAAAACAATAAATTATTAGATAAGTCATTATAAAAGTGTATAATCATAGCCAAAAACACTCGTAAAAGGAATGTTAAAATAACGATGTTGCTATTCTTTCTCTTTGGTTTTGTTTTTATATTCTTTCTTAGGTTTCTCTTTATCCAAAAATTGTACAATTCACCATAGTTATCCCATATCGCCCAATCACAGTTTACTACACATTACGTCATCAGTCCTCAGTGAATGAAATCAGTTCTCAGTTGCAACATAGCGCGCGCAGCGACAGCAGACAAAGATGTAAAACGGAGCAGACGAATGTTAGCGCAAGCGATGACGTGACCTTTCCATTTAATTTGATAAAGAAACAGATTTTCCCAAAACAATAATTGGGTGGGGGATTTGTTATATTGAGGGAAAGACGTAGACAATTCGTTATGCAGAGGTTAAATTCGCAATGTAGAGGTTCTGACAATGATAAATTCGTTATATTGAGGTGTCTTATTTTAGCCGAAATCACGAAAAATTCGTTAAATCAAGGCCGTTGTTATGGTTTGTTCGTTATGTAGAGGTAAAATATACATTGTGTCTTATGGAGAGTTCTAGGGGATTAAAAAAAAAATCGTTATATCAAGGAATTCGTTATATTGAGGTTCGTTATATCAAGGTTAGACTGTACTTCAAACAGCTCTGTTTTAAGACTCTCTTGTGTGAACAACTCGCCATCTTGTAAATTAAGTTGTCTTAAATTGGCTGCATACCGTGGATATAAATATGCTAAATAAACAATGCTAAATAAAAAATGGTTAAAATAATTATTGAAGTAGTGTAAACATGTTTTTAGCAAATCTGTTGCATTTTGTTTTACAAACTGTCTTTATTTTTACAGCTTTTTCTCAAAAAACATGTGGAGTCTGTACAATCTAGCAAGGAATTACGGTATTAAATCTAAAAAAACCCATTTACTTAATTTTAAGAAGAAAAAAAAAACAAACAATATATAACTTTACAATACAGAGAGAGTATTTACTATTTCATTTTACATTAATTATGAGATAAATCCTTTAAAATCATTGTAATAAAGTAAATCTAAAGTACTGTTAAATATGTTACCTCTGAATCCACGGTTGATAAAAAGTTGAGCCCATTCAAGTTTTTTTGCTTCCCCAACTTGGACGAGCACAAATAGATTCTGCAACGGCTGGATGCCTGAAGCTATCACCTCACAAATCTCCCTCACCTAAATACACAACATACACAGGCCTTTATTGTTTGTGGGTTATTGAGCCTCTTTTATGAATGATTCAAAACTGACTAAAACTCTCTGCAGGAGCACTGCATACTTTACTCAAGCCTTACTGGGCCCTCCAATAGCTGGATTGCTAAAGGAAATACATAGAACCCTGCTGATACAAATTTGGCTAGTCGACTCCTTGCTTAAATCCGACTGTGCCATCGCCATCAGTGTTGGTTTAGATCTCCAGTGTACTTCCCCATCCAACATTCAAGATTTTTGAACGATCGTGGGAGACAATCTCCCACGATTCTCAAAACGATTCTTTTGGGTCCCCCTGAACCCAAAAAAGTGGTTTTCGAAGTTATGCGTGTGAGTGTGTGTGTGTGTCTTGGTATGTGTGGATGTGTACATAGCTACAGATTACACCTATGGTCCGATTTTGATTAAATTTGCTACGTAGGTACTAATCCACAATATCTCCAGGCATATTTTCCATTTTTTTAAATATTTTTAATGAGGGTTTTCACATAAATGATTTTGATTTGATTTAGGTGGTTAGCGGGGTTGTACTGTATGCCAATATTTTAAAGAATGGAATATATACAATAAATTTGAGTTAATAATAATACTGATCTCAGCTAGGATGATTATTATATAGCTTCTAGAATACTACAAGACTACTAAAAACTAATTGAAACAACAGTGAAAACAGCAACAAATTCCTATGCATGAAAAATGTCTTACCCTTGCTCTTTTCACCACATCTTGAGGCATGAGAGGTCTCTGAGGCCGAGTCTCTTCCAGGTAATGCATGATATTGAGCTGTAACAATATCAATTATGTCTTCATCTCACAAAACTACAGTTTTTTATGAGTTTTCTCTCTCGCACACGAGAGAATCTTCTATCTTTCTACTATTTCCATATTTCTGCAGAGGTAAAACAGATAATTTTGCTGTATTGTGTTGTTTATTTGTATGGGAAGCTATAAACTGTACCATAATACAAAAATATTTATTTTAAAGTAAATGATATGAGGAAAAAACCAGGAATAAAATTTTGTGTCTTTTAGGTTTTAATCAACAAAACAAACTAAAGAAAAGTAATGCATGTACTGTAAGTATTTGGCTCTGAACAGTGAACACATCTATTTAGACAAATCATTTGAAGCAATTTTCTTAGACTTGTGTAAACAACACCAGGCTAGCAGTATTCTGCATTCTTGGCTGGTAATGTTGTTCTCCTTCACAAACAAGTTGGGTCTCTCTTATAACAGGTTTTGTTCAAATGTACCTATCAATAATCGTGAAACTAAGGGAATTTCACTAGAAAACATTGGGTTAGAACTTGAAATGAACTTTCTTGGTTTTTTCTTTTCTCAGTTTTATGTGTACAAGTTTATTTATTTATTACACACATGCACATTAGCTATAGGTATATCACCCCAAAAAATTAAATATTTATACTAAATTGTAAAAGAAAGACATGTAAAAGAAAGAAATGTACATAAGTTAAACAATGGTATATGCTCGTAAATAAGAGTGATTACAAGACTATATTAAATGCACAATTTTATAGAAAATATACTTTATTAGCAACAATAAACATATAGGGGAAAATGATTTTATGTATACTAGCTGTTACCTGCGGGCTTCACCCCGTTTGACTGTATTAACTTTGAATAGTCAATGGTATTAATAAAACTATAGATTGGTTAAAAATAAACAAAACAGAATACAGTTAATACAAACAAATAATCACACCTGATTTTTAATAAGGTAATAAATTGGAGGAATAACAAACAAAAAAGTACAGCTGATTTATGAAAAAATGAATATTTTTGTGCAAGGTTTCTCGTCCTTAAGAACATTTTAAGTAGCCTATATGGTTTATGAGGGTGTGACTTGTAGTTTTCTCAAAAGTTCATGGGTACTTTGGGATTTATAAAGCATTTATTTATAGTTTGAACTGATCCATATTGTTAGAAAAATTATCTAGTTCATTTTTGTGGACATTTAATTTATGCAAGCCTGTAAATCTGAACAGTACTATTAGTGGGGAGGCAAATTTCCAAAATGCCAAAGTTGGCTTACCCCGAAAGCTAACCACTGAACACTATGCTAGATGATATTGTACAGTATAGTAGAAATGATATTTTGACCGGTGTTCGCTCTGTATGAGTTGGACTCTCCTTTCTGGTAATGTGTCTGGATGGTAATGTTTGATTCTTTGTATAACTTGAGCAAAAATGATTTGATTTTGATAAAATTTGGTAAAAACGTTTTTAAACTTACATTTATTTTAACAAGTTCGCAAACCAGCATGATCGGACCATGGGAACGGTGTTTTATGGGGTGAAAATAGGGCTTTCTTATTTCTTACCCTCAAAACACAAAATTTTCCAATTTCTCTCTAAACCGTTTTAAAGAACTTAAAGAAACAAATTATGTAGTATGATAACGTTTTTTTGTGCCCTTATTGGTTACGGAGAAAATTCAAAACGATGTTATTCTTATGGAGGATAATGTCAACTCTTGTAGTTTGCTTGTTTATGGATATTTTGATCAAACTTGGTAAACGTATTTATTTTATACTAAGCTTGTAATACTCTACTAACATACACACTTTATTAGCCTCCCTGTAGCAGCAAATCTAGGTCCTGGTTAAACCTAATGCTATTTAAATAGAATTATTTTAAAAACAAATCAGGCAAATGTAAATCCGCTTAGTCTGCAAGTTTGCTGCGATTGGGGTACCTATTTTATTCTTGGCATTTCTTCCTAAACCTAGTGGTTAAAAAATAGCTCAAAGTAACTCCTAAATCCTTAACTTGATTAACTCTTTCAAGTTTGAGATCATTATAGAGCAAGGAAAATGGTTTAGTGCTTATTTCCGTGTAAAGCTTACTGTAACACAATTTTTAATATTCGGTTCCAGGTTAAATGAATCTAGACACAAATTTGCAAGAACACTAAGGGATGATTTTATTATATCCTGATAATTTCTTTCTCTAATTGTTCTATAAATCTTTAGATTGTCAGCGTACTAACGACTCTTACAGCCAGTTAATATTTCAGGAAGGTCATGAATAATTATCAATAACATGAGGTGACCAAAACAAGAGCCCTGAGGTAAACCTTATATTTTTAAGTTTCACTGACTTGATATTTTCAAAGTACATCTGGCCTATTGAAGCCAATCTTTAAGATATGAGGCCACAATGGAGACAAAATGAGAATAAGCCCAAAACCTAATATCATATTCGGTCAAGTAATCCTTCGTGTTTAACTTTGTCAAAGGCTTAAGGAAAATTAGTAAAAAGCATCAACTCTGCCTCCAAAATCTAGTTTGGAGTTAATGCTGAAAGAAAATTCTGATAGGTTGGGAAGTTTATTTCTACAGAAGTATACCAAAGTTGAATGTTTTATGAGTATAATTTTGTGAAATTTGGAGTAAATATTCAAAGGAAGTCGTAATTGTTTAAAGATGATTATTGCAGTTTTTGAAGCTAGATTTCTAACTGTTTCATAATCAATTGATAAGAGTTACAACTGATGTTTTTCCAGTTGCACTTTGGTTGAACTAAAATCAAATTAAGTTGATCCCATTCTTACTCATATGTAACACTATCACTGTAGTTATTCATGACAATAAATTTAAGTTAGTTGTTATTATTAAAGGAAATCATATTATAATAAGTCGGTTAACATGTTCACTACCGCAGTAATACAAAATTTTTCATTCATATAGACTAGCGACGCATATATGCAACGGCCAGTTTCTACCCATAGACTGCCGTCGCATATTTGCGTTGGTGTTCCAATGTTATTAAAATGCTTATATCTTTGTAACGGTCTATTTGAAGGCACTGAACTCCCTGCAGTGGTCTACAGAGATGTCTGACGCACATCTGTGTCGCTTGGTCTGTGGATATGATGATTGGTGACGTCATGTGATAGTTGGAAAAACTGTTCTTTACTTTGCTACGTATGTATGCTGCATTATCCTATGTAGCTTTTATATTTGTTCAATTATAAACTGTCATTGAATAATCAGTTTTTTTTAGTTTTTTTTTACTTAAAAATGAACTGTCGCATATATGGAACGTTTGGGCTATTTCAAGAAAAATATAATAATTTTCACTATTGTCTTCGCATTAGATCGGGCGTTGCAAATATTTGACATTACAAAAGGTTATCAAATATATAAAAAAAAACAATAAAATATTATTTCAAACACTATTGCAGCGTATTAACAAGCAAATGATCACTGTTTAACAGGTTTTTGCCCATGGTCTGCGTGTTCTGTTAACCAAGTGACAGCCGGTCTATGTGAAAGATTAAATTATAAATGATCGCGGCGTCACATATATGCGACGCTCGGTAGCAAACGTGTTAAAAATACACTTAAAATAGCAAGATTAAAAACAGCATTCCTTTGCATACAAAGCACTGCAGACACTGTGAAGATTTTGGTGCTATTTCTATCTACAGGGCCCTGTTTCATAAAAATACTAGTCTAGTATTTACTACTCCATGGACTAGTAATACTAGTGTATTTTACAAGTCTACGTTTCAAAAACCTACTAGTGTAAAATACTAGTTACTAGTGTAGGGACTAGTATTACTAGTGGTTTTTACTAGTGTAGACAGCAATGTGTTTCATAAAGTTTTACTCTTGTAAATTACACTGGTAAATACTTGCCATTTTCTAACAACCTCTCTACACCCGTATTATTTGAAGTAGACTAGTATTTTTGGAAAGAGAGTTATTTAATTACTCATATTATAAAAAATAATAATTTTTAAATTCTATTTTCAAGTGTGAATTGGCTCAAAAGTTTGCAATTTAAGATGAAAATAGATCTATGAGTGCTAAAATGATAATTATTAGATGTAAATTACAATCAATAAATGTGGCGTAGTACAAAATGAGTAAAATTGAATTTTATAATGTGTGTAAAATCAACCTATTAGAATAATTTAATAATTATTATTATAAGTTATCAATTTCTGTGGAATTTTAGTCTAAATTTACTTGAGTAAAATGTCATGGTTATATCAACTATTTAGTTATCACAGATAAAATATTTGTAATCTTTGAGAGAGACCAAATTAAAACCGCATACCGTATTGCATACAAAGATGTACATAAATGTATCCATAATTGCAACATTAATCAGATTATTTATTTTACACCCAAGGCTCTGGGTTTTATTTAAAGACATTTTAATAGGAAATAATAGTAAGGCAATTTTAAAGAGGAGCTTCACTGTATTTTTTGAGGTGCTTATTTTGTAAGCACCTTCCCTAAATAGCTAAAACCCTGTGATGTACTAACAATTTTGAAGGCCTATATTTGATTTTTGGGTGTTGGACTGAACTGCTTACCATAAAAAAATACTTTTAATCCATTTTGGTATTCTGAATTTGTTATTCAAAGTAATAAAAAAAAATTAATGTTCATTAGAGCTGTTATTTAATGTAAAAACATGTAAAAGTTTTATTAATGGAACAAAAAGTATAGTGAGTGATGCGGATTTGAACTTTAGATTCTCCTTAGTTTCAGAGAAATATCGTAGTCCAGTTCCAAGCAAGACAACATTTATGTCCAGACGTTTTAACAATCACTTCCAAAAATAATTTTCCCTTTCACTAAACAAATTATCCGCAACTCATGTCTACGCACAGGCCCTGCCTATGTAGACCATTTCCATTTAAGTTGATAAGGTATTTTTTTTCTTTGTGCCATTTAGTTATAATATTATTTTGTAAGTTATTTTTAAGTCAAGGATTGTGTAATTTATAAAATACCACAAACTGTATTTTTCAGTTGGGAAATCTATTATATTATTAAAGTGATACAATCAAATTTTATGTAAACGGTTAAGGCAATTTACCAAATAAAAATATAGGCATATGGCATATCAAAATGAAGCTTTGAGCGTGTAGATTTGCCGAAAAGTATTGATATGGACGAACTCCCTAAGGGCTCTGTCCCACGGGCTGATTTCCAAAGGGCAACGCCTTGCATGTTTTGGAAGTTATTATTTGATGAATTTAGTGAACAACAGCTGGCCAATGCAATTGACAATATAGTTTGTTTGTTTAAATTTTTGTTTTACTTATTTTATTATTTACTTTTATGTTCTTAAAAGAAGTGCGGAGAATGGACAGTGAAGCTATTTCTAGCTGTTAGATACAAGTGAGTGATTAAAGGTGATCGAAACACAATAAATATGGGATTAAAACCATGTATGTTCTTCGTTCCAAGAGGTTGTCACCAATCTTTAACAGGTCGCAATTTCATTGAAAAGTATTAAAGACGTTGTGAAAGAGAGCTGCGTTTACAGGTACAACATCGGCCAACCTTAGGACGTAAGGTATGAAGGTTCCACTGCTTTTAACAGCCTTTCAGATGACAATTTCTCAAACTTGGGCCCTTTAAATGAAATATAAAGTCAAAGTTGATTAAATTAATTTAATGGTGGCTTCTGTTGGCCTGTGAATTCGCGGGTAGAACCTTTTGTAAACATTATTTCATTTCATTTCACCAGGGACCCACCACATGAGAAGCGAAAACTCTACCTCTGAGCTACGCCCTGCAATAGCGCCCTTGCCATGTTTTACTATACTTGAAAACCTACTTCTCCATTGCTTGTAACGGCGTTGCAATTGTTTGTTACATCAATAAACGTTTAGGCTTATTATTCATGGTTTGTAGACTCAAAATTAGAATATCACCAAATGGTTTTCAACCCAAATATTCTTATGAATTTGAATATTTGAAAACATAGGTTAGGGTACTTGAAAACGTTCCAAACAAAATGTCCTTAAGTTAGACGATTTAATTACATTAAAAATTTGAGCATTCTTTTCTTTACTCATAGCAAGCTTAATTTATGTCAGAATAAAACAAAAACTATACGAATCACAGCGAATGTGGCAGCAACAGATCAACTTCCACCCAAATGTAGAGCGCCGCAACTAGGCCTACAACCGGCTACTACAATCACCGTGTTGATTGCAGCGACGCGACGCTGCGCCGCGTCGGCGGGCTCATTGCCGAACTTAAATAATAGCCGTTTGATAAATAATGTATGATTGTTTTACCTATGTGTCTATATAGTAAATAAATAAAAGAAAACACTGCGTTTCTACAACTATTTACTTTTAGTATCAAATGAAAGAAAAAATTTAAACGCTTTATGGAGCGTCAGAATACCCGGGATTGAGGTTAGAAATTTGTTTTGAGAGTTCACTTGTAAAATTGGTCCCTTGACTAGTAGTTTCGGTCACGTGACTAGTAAAATTCACTAGTATTTACTAGCGGTATAAAAACGTTTATGAAACACAAATGAGTAGGACAGGTAATACGGGACTAGTATTTACTAGACTAGTAATTACTAGACTATAGTTCGGCCGCTTAGAAAGCGACCTCCTCCAGCATTGGTTTAGCATTAGCGCGCAGGTCGTTTTCTGAGCGGCCGAACTATAGTATCTATATGAAACGGGGCCCAGCTGTAATCTGTTCAATACCAATATGTCACTTACTAAACAGAAAAAGGTACCGTACAGTATTTTTATGATGTTCATGGGTAGGCTACATTTATCCACTAAGTCTTACCGATTCTATGAGTCTCTGACCATCGATCTCCAAGACAGGCACTTGAGATATAGGGTTGATTTCTCTGTAATCATCATTGTGTTGCTCTCCTCCATTTTTCACTAGACTAATTGGTTTTATTTCATATGGTATCTCTTTCAAATTCAAAGCTGAAAATGAAAGGTTTTTGTTTTTACAAATAGTTTCATAAAGGTTGTAGGTAGACAACAGTGATGATTTAAGGTTTTAGCTTGACACAATAAATGTGTGTTACATGGATCAAAGATTATTCATAGGCTGCCCCCCCCCCCCCAACAAAACATTTATAACATGTCATATTACAGTAATTAAACGAGCTGTTGGCCCGCCCTACGTACAAGAATTGAATAGTCGAAACTAAAACTGAAGTTATGTCAATATTTCCATTTCTAATCCAAGCAACGTTTAAGCAGTTAATTATTTATTGTAAACAAAAAGCTTCCAAGATGAATTAAAACATGTAATCATTGTTATTTTCCTAATCTTTTCTCAAAAAAGTCGAACAGAAAAATAATTTGCATAACCTTTCCTTCGAAGATTCGGGGGCAGAGCCTTAATTTGATTACATCATTGGTTATAGAATCTTACTCATTTCCTATAATCAATGGCAAAATCACAGAATAATAAACCAACATGATAGTTCTATAGAATATTTTTACATTCAACCAGCTGTTAGTTAAAACAAATGATATTGCACTAAAACAAACTTAAAATTTGAAAGACTGCTCCAAAAAGTAAATTAGAACATCTCTAGCATTTTACCATAATATTCAAATAGTCTGTCATCCTCTTACCAAATACTCCTCTCATTCAATACTGGAGATGGAAATTCATTTTGGAAATAAATCTGATAGGTTTCTAACACATAAGATGAAAAAGTACCTAGGCATACAATAAGTTTATGTGGATTTTTGTCTTACCTATCCGTACTCGATAAGAACAGGAGCTTCTCCAAAATGAGTATAACAGTGCCTGTAAAATAATGCTTTATCAGTAACCAAGCAAAAAGGCTAGGCCTACAAGGATAGTATTAGCATAGACTAACCGACACAAGTAGACTTCTCATCCCATTGTGAATTTTGAAGCACGTTTTTCGTGTCTAGTTCATGAACACTGGGCGCTAGTGCCGACGAAATTTTGTTTTTATGTTTTTAATGTAACTAGGGGACAAGTTATTGTTTATGATTAGATCGTATTATTTGATTAAACGAGGTTTTATATGACTGTAATAACGGGAAACAAATTGTAAACAAAACACGACCTCAACATAAATCGTACAGAGTTAACAATAAAATTGTCTTCAGCTGTTCCATAAGGATGAGAAATCTACTAAGGGAGTATGTTTTATCTATGGTATTAGTTTATGGGCAGGTTTATAGTTTCGATCTTTAATGTGCAGATCAGTCTAGAGGGTCTGAATAGAATGAGAAATCAGAAAACGTTTTATTGTCCTTCAACATTTACAACAAATGCAATAGGCAAAAGTCAACAAAAATTCAGCTATTACATACACAGCCTATGTTTAAAAAAAATAAAAAACAAAAGGCAAAATAAAACAAGCCTAAGAACAAGTCAAAATACGCTATACTTATATATGCTTATAAAAAAATGTCAACATGTGAGGACATTAAAAGTTAACATCGTCAAGCTTAAAATATTCTTCTATATCATAAAAATTATTTAAAAGTAACCAGTCCTGAACTCTTTTTTGAAATGACTTAAAATCTAATTCTTTGGCATTGATGCTGAGCTTATTAAATAATCTTACTGAAATATCGGTTAAATTCTCCAATGTTAAATATATATTTTTTTTTTTTGGGGGGGGAGAGGAGGGAAAATACTTTGACTTGCTGTATCAGTCGCCTGGTTCAGCGTCCCCGAGTCTCCTGAGGTTCCCAGCTCTCCTGCCACAGCTGGTAGGTGAGGGTGCGTTCCTCTGTTCGTGCCTGGTCCTCCCCACGGCGCTGATAAATTGCCTTTCTCTCCGCCACCAAAAGTTTGACGGGGATGACTCCAGCAACCACCAGGACAGCGGGTTCGGACACTGTTCGGTAGGCGGATGCAACTCTTAGTGCTGCCTGACGCTGCACTCGGGCAAGCCGCATCCTATATACCTCCTTATTGAGAGCGTCTGCCCACACCTCAGCACCGTACAAGAGTACGGACTGGACAGAAGACATTAACAGCCTTCTCCGGCTGGACAAAGGACCTCCGATATTGGCCATCAGCCGGCTAAGAGAGGAGACCACCTTAGCAGCCTTGTCCGCCGTACGGAAAATCTGATCCCGCCAGCTAATCTTGCTGTCCACCATAACCCCAAGGTACTTGGCAGAACGAACAGTCTGATCTTCGACGGCCCCTACCCTCAACGGCACGATGGTGTCAATCCGGTTTTTTGTTAATATCACGATCTCAGTTTTGCTCAAAGCAAGCGAGAGACCGTGGTCTGTCATCCATGCGTTTATGGTACGCATAACTCGGTTCAGCTTTAGCTGAGCCAGCTCAACGCTACGTGCAGCTATCAAAACTGCAACGTCGTCTGCGTACACAACCAAAGCAGTTTCCTCAGGCATTTCAGACCTCAGGAGGCTGTCATACATGACATTCCAGAGGTCTGGACCGAGTATGGAACCTTGGGCAGCACCGGAAGTGACACTCAATGTTAAATATTAAAACATAGGCTAAACCTTTATCAAAGTATTATAAACATTAAAAGGGATGACTTTTTTTTTAATTTAAGTATGACAACAGCTAATTTGCAACCAAAAGGTGAGTGACGAGCGTAGCGAACAAACATCAACCTGGAGGCGAGTTAGCGTAGCGAATGAGCTAACCTGAAAACAAGTGAGTGCAGCGAACGAGCTCCAACCTAAAGGTGAGTGAGCGTAGCGAACGAACTTCAACTAGGACGTGTTTGAGCCATGCGAATACTTATGAAGTTAAACGCGCGGGTACAGCTAGTTACCTATAAAGATTAAAGAAATACAGTATAGGTACTTAACTAAGGCCTAGCCTACAGAATATTTTACTAGGCTATTATAGATAACTTGAATAGACCTACCTTTCCAGCAGCTGTCATGTTTTCTAAGTGATCCCAGTAAATTAATTTGTTTGTTTTTACTTGGACAAATTTGCACCTAACCTTAAAAAACGCTTTAGTTACGGTAGGCCCTGTCAGCCAAGCCTAAGTGGTGCTGTAATAACTTAATGTAACCCAGACAGGCAACTATTCAACTACTGTAACTTTTGACGTCAAGTGTAAGTGTGTCAACAACGTCTTCAACGATGAGAAAATTGAGAAGCGTGAGTGACAATGAAGAATGAAGTGAAGTACTGAAGGAAGTAGTGTTTGTTTGATTACTGATTAGTGACTGAGGAGTGAGGACTGAACTGAAGGCCAAGGGAAGGGACTCGGAGCGGACTCACTGAACTGCAACCTGCAACTGACTCACTCCACTCTCCACTGGGCACTGAGTGAGAGTGACTGAGTACTACCATAGATAAAACATACTACGGGTACTACCGAAGGGAGAGGGCACGCGAATCACGCGAATAGGAATACACGTGTTGCGGTGAAGCCAGCTTTATAGGTCTCGCCACCCTAAGTTGAGGCAGCCCAGACGGACGGGCAGGGTCATTATCGGCCGGTCCCGCCCGACCCTTTATAATCCGATTAGTGACACTTCCGTGAACGCTCTAGTTCCATAATTGTCATTAACAAAGTTAAAAACCGATGTATAAATTTAGTCTTTTACATTAATAACGTTGATTTAACAAACATTTCCGTTTTTGTCCCATCAAAATCGGACAATGTTTACGGTTTGTGAGCTATAAACAAAAAACAAAGTAGTGTAGATCCCAAAATCCAAAAACCGTAAACATTGTCCTATTTTGATGGGACAAAAACGGAAATGTTTGTTAAATCGACGTTATTAATGTAAAAGACTAAATTTATACATCGGTTTTTAACTTTGTTCATGACAATTATGGAACTAGAGCGTTCACGGAAGTGTCACTAATCGGATTATAAAGGGTTGGGCGGGACCGGCCGATGGTAAATGAACCTTTGACATAAATAGAGTCATAGTTTTCTAAAATCTTATTAAAAACATTCTTCATTTCGTGGTAGGGGACGTATCCATCGTTCCAGTCCATTCCGTGATAGAAGTTTTTCACCCATGATGCAACCTTTTGCTGTGTTTCAGGTAGAACTGACAGAGGGTATGGAGGCTTGAAAACCAATGACTGCACCTTGCTTCCGGAAGATGAGAGAAACACCGCTTCCTTTATGATGAATTCATTTCGGAATCCTCGAAAACCTTGAATATCACAAATCACCTTTCTGTCTGACATCTTGTTAACGACTGGAATAAAACTGATCTGACTAAGGAAAAATAATTGTTTTTATACTCATAACCCAATGACCTTATGAGCTAATAAGGTTGATCTTATGAGCTCATAACCTCTTGACCCTATGATTGTATAATGTTGTGACATCCTATACCAACCTTTTAACAATACTCGTCTTCGGGTTATATTCTATGACCCTGTCGTGAAGGATCATGCAATAAGCTGTAGTGTTTGCTGGCATGGTATTTTTTTATTCAAATTCCAGCCTTATGTCAATTAACGGGGCCAGATTTGATAGATTCATTTTGTCTTGTACAATCAATAACTATTAAGGGAGCGTATTTGATGTAGTCACTAAATGAAAATAATGGTTCACCTTTTTTAAAATAGTAGTTTTCTTGGAATTTGATGTACATTTCACAAAGAATTGCTAGTTGGTTTCTTGATGGATCTAGGTTCATATCATCACATGGGTAACATTCAGAATTCAAATAGAGTTTAACATTAGAAATATCACAAATATCAAAGTGACTCATGTGTTTTTTAATATTGTTTGTACGATCTGTCTGAAATGCTAATATGACATATCTAGGTTTTTCTAATTGTGTAGACGTTTTTACACTCCATGTGTGTCTGGTTGATGCGGGCAGTAGAGGATATTTGTAAAGTTCCCAAGTTTTAAAATTAACATAAACCGATTGGTTTTTGTCTATAATCTTCAATAAAGATATCTTCTCACTGTCTGATGGATATACGTAAGGTACTCTCCACTGAATCTTCTTAATATTTATATCTACTGTTGGATCGATGCTTGTAGCAGTAGTACCAGTACCTGTAGTGCTAGTTTCCCCATATACAGCATTCATATCTGTCCTTGATCTTATTAATATTAGTTCTTGCTTCACGTTAAGTATAATTTTATTATAGTCTTCAGCAAACCCTAACAATGTTTTTAAAGGAATGCAGACATTAAAGTAGTATGTACCCTTTTTTGAATCATCTTCTTTAAGAGACAATAAGCCATCTTTTTCATTAGTCCAACCTGCATTAGTTAACATTTTTACATCACTTTCGCTGAATGAAAGGTAGCCTTTTATCGTACTTGTTATACCAACATTTTTTACTCTATCTATTTCCACACCTCCAATTTCATATCTTATTTCATCAAATAAAAATAAAAATCCATTATTAATAAATTTAGTATTTTTAGCTGTAACTTCACCTTCTATGTAAAGAGTACTATTACAAGGATAAGTATATACATCTTGGTGCTGAATTGGAATTCTAATGTCATCATTATTTTTAAAGGATGAATTAGCATAAGGTAGATGAGAGTGAACTTCAATTTTATTAATTGATTCATCAAAATAAATTTTATCTTTTACTTGTAATATTACCAGCCATTTTTAATTTTAAATCCTAGTGATCGTAAAAAGTCTCTATTAATCTTAGTTAAAGAGCTTTTCTTTGCCGGAGAACCTTTCTTCACGGAAGTCGGTGTAGTAATGCCACTGACCTTCATGTAAGACATGTTTTTGATAGGAAGATAAATCATTGGCATGGTTACAAACGTTTAAGATGCAGTGTTACTGTGATGCTCTCGTCACGGAAATTGATAGGTTTTCCGTTTTGATCCGTAATTTTAAGGGATAAATGATCTATTGACCTTGTATTAATTGGGAGGTAGATAATATTAGCTGGTGTTTCAACAATTTTAAAACCAGGAGGTACAGTGGGGAAAAATGTATGAATCACGTGACTTGGCTTACCATTTACAAATGAGGATGTTACAATATTACATTCGATATTTATAGTATTAACCTTAAGTATGTTTACAGTCTCATCTGAAATATGACTTTGAAATTTACTCAACTTTCTTTTTTTGAAACCTAGTAGTGGTCCAATAGAATCGTTAGGAGTGAAATCAATATCCTTTGAACATTTTATTTCACTTTTTAGTGTATTATTATTTGATTGAATTGTAATCAGTACATTATGTTTTATATTGTATGCACTTTTAAAAGTAGGAGTACCTTCAATGTCTGTTTCTGTTTCACCTCTTTTATCATTAAATATTTTTCTCAAATACTTTTGTAAATCTGCAATTTCATATGAGCCAGTGGGTATTTTTATACCAGCTTGAGAACCCTCATTATCAACATAATAAAACTTATTACATCCCACTTCAACATTTGGAATTGAATTAAAAGTTTCAAAATTAATAAACCCTAAAACATATTCATGCTCATTTTCTAATTCAATCTTTGGGAAAATTTCACAACTCAAGACAGAACCTTTACCAGTTAATACGAATAGGTGTGACATGTCTACCTCTGTTGTCCTCTGTTGTCAGGTTGATGGATTAATAAAAACTAAGATAATTATTAAGTAATATTTAATTATATTCACAAAGAAACTTCAAACATAAATGTCCACAAATTTCAGTGTTATAGTTTTGTTCTCTGTTATCTAATATATAAAATTCTCGTGTCACAGTGTTTGTCTGCAAACTCCTCCTGAACGACTTCACGGATCGTAATGAAATTTGGTGTGTAAATTCTGTAGGTATGCGAATCGGACGTAAACTATTTCCCGTTTCGAAATTCTTAAAAGGGCTCCGCCCCAGTGGCTCTGGAGTTTCCCATGTTAACCTTATGAGAAATGGAATTAATGAATCTTAACAGCTGTTTCAATTAAACAAGTGGGTTCTGTTCTATGATGTTCAATAGCATTAAAGTTACAAGGATTACCAACAGGGTGCAGCACTATTATTTCTTTTACATATGACAACAGCTAATTTGCAACCAAAAGGTGAGTGAGCGTAGCGAACGAACTTCAACCAGGACGTGATTGAGCGATGCGAACGAGATCATCTTGAAAATTAAACGTAACGGTACTTTCTTTCCATCGGTCTGTCTTAGGGGAAACCTATAACTTAGGCGATACGAAGTTCGCCGGGTCAGCTAGTAATTATATAAAATTATACAATTTTTTAAATATTTAATAACTTCTAATGGTGGTTTTAAATTACCAAAACTATCGTAGTATTTAACTTGTAGTCCAGTCTTACGTAGAGCAACCCAATGGGTTCCAGGTCCATCATCCATGTCTAAATTAATGATAAGTGCTTCTTTTTCCCACGGAAACGTAGGTAGCTTGTCCTTGCTAAACACACCTCTAAAGTTCGGAATTTTCAATAATTAAGCTGATTTTTCAATGTCGAAGTTGCTCAGTGCGGTTGGTCTAAAAAAATTCTCATTCCTTGCTTGTATGGTCTCAAGTATAACCCCTTTCCTTTGTGAATTTGCACATCATTTACATTTTCCTTCTTAGCCTTTTGTACTTCATTTATAGCTTTATATACGGAAGCTGCTCCTCCAGCTAGACTTCCTATCACGGACAAGCCTGCGAATAATGGTAGTAGAAATGGAAGAGCACCTCCTGTCTTTGGGATTGGGATAATTCTAGGTTTCTTAATATCCTCCTTTCTACCACCCGTAACTGCCTTTCTAGCGGCTTTCAAAGCTGCAGGGACTAATACTTTTAATTCTTTAGTTTTGCTTTTCTTGAGAACATTTTTAGCCGCCATTATAGCATCCCTGAGATGTTTTTTCTTTTGCACTTTTACATTTTTCTTTCTGATATTTTTCACACAGTTGTTTGTGGATTTACTGCTTTTCACTCTCCTCATTCCTGCACCCAATTTTACCTTAGCCTTCATTGCGTTTGTAACAGCAAAAGCAGCTATTCTTTCACCCCTCTTAGCGTCTGGAGCTGACACTCTAGTCCAAGCTTTCTCTGCCAATAGCTTATCAGCTATATGTCGACTTTTTAGATCCTTACTCTGTGCGTAAGCAATATCGTGTTCCTTACAGTAATTGTCGAGCGGATTAATCCCCTCGTCTTTTCTTGCTAATCGTTTCTCTAACTTTGTGCCAGGCCCACAAAATCTATAACCAGGGATATGAGCTTCAAATGGTAGGTTATTAATCAATTTATTTACTAGA